ATTTTGGATAGATCAGCACTTGTGGTGTTGGTGTGTGGTGTTGTGTGGTAGTGGTGGTGGGGTGTTGTGGTTGTGGTGGTGGGGTGTTGTGGTTGTGGTGTGGGGTGTTGTGTGGTTGTGGTGGTGGGGTTTTGGTTGTGGTGGTGGGGTGTGTGGTTGTGGTTGGTTGGGGTTGTTTGGTTGTGGTGGTGGGTGGTTGTGTGGTGTGTGGGGGGTGTTGTGGTGGTGGGGTGTTGTGGTTGTGGTGGTGGGGTGTTGTGGTTGTGGTGGTGGGTGTTGTGGTTGTGGTGTGGGGTGTTGGTGGTAGTGGTGGTGGGGTTGTGGTTGTGGTGGTGGGTGTTGTGGTTGTGGTGGTGGGGTGTTGTGTGGTGTGGTGGTGGGGTGTTGTGGTTGTGGTGGTGGGTGTTGTGGTTGTGGTGTGGGTGTTGTGGTTGTGGTGGTGGGTGTTGTGGTTGTGGTGGTGGGGTGTTGTGTGGTTGTGGTGGTGGGGTTTGTGGTTGTGGTGGTGGGGTGTTGGTGGTTGTGGTGGTGGGGGTGTTGTGGTTGTGGTGGTGGGGTGTTGTGGGTTGTGGTGGTGGGGTGTTGTGGGTTGTGGTGGTGGGGTGTTGTGGTTGTGGTGGTGGGGTGTTGTGTGGTGTGGTGGTGGGGTTGTGTGGTTGTGGTGGTGGGGTGTGTTGTGGTTGTGGTGGTGGGGTGTTGTGGTTGTGGTGGTGGGGTGTTGTGTGGTTGTGGTGGTGGGGTGTTGTGGTTGTGGTGGTGGGGTGTTGTGGTTGTGGTGGTGGGGTGTTGTGGTTGTGGTGGTGGGGTGTTGTGGTTGTGGTGGTGGGTGTTGTGGTTGTGTGTGGGGTGTTGTGGTTGTGGTGGTGGGGTGTTGTGGTTGTGGTGGTGGGGTATTGTGGTTGTGGTGGTGGGGTGTTGTGGTTGTGGTGGTGGGGTGTTGTGGTTGTGGTGGTGGGGTGTTGTGTGTGGTGGGGGGGGGGGGTTGTGGGGTGGTGTTTGTGGTTGTGGTGGGGGGGTGTTTTTTTTTTGGGTGGGGTTTTGTTTGGGGTTGGGGTATTGGGTGTTGTTTTTGGGGTTGTGGGGTGGGTGTTGTGGTTGTGGGGGGGTTTTGGGTTTTGGGGTGGTTTTTTGGGGGGGTGTGGGGTTTGTGGTTGGGGGGGGTGGGGGGGGGGGGTTGGGGGGGTTTTGGGGTTTTGTGGTGGTGGGGGTTGGGTTTTTGGTGGGGGGTATTGTGGTTGTGGGGGGTTTTGTGGTTTGGGTGGGGGGGTGTTGTGGTTGTGGGGGTGGTTTTTGGGGGTTTGGGGGGTTGGGGTGTTGTGGTTTTGGTGGTGGGGTTTGTGGTTGTGGTGGTGGGTGTTGTGGGTTGTGGGACTCGCCTAATTTATTTATTTATTTTTTTTTTAATTTATTTACAATTTGACACACATACAGGGTACAAAAAAAAACAGAAAAGACAGCATCCAAAGCCACTTATACTATCAAGCATTACGGGCGGCTTAAAATTAACTTAAAAATAACAACAAGATGAAACGTGAAAAAAACTTTAAAAGTAAACAGATAACAAAAGCACAAGTGAGTATTAAAAAAACATTTTGCAGGTAGATTCTAGCTCCGGCCCGCCTCTTCACTTGCCACACTGGGCCCCCTCTCCCTGCTCCAAGAGTTTTAACAGCCTCTTCTTAAAGCTATGTAGGGATCCTGCCTCACACTGTGGAAAATACGTATATTTTTTCCCGGGAAAATTCAGTTTTTTAAATTAAATAGAGGCCAACGTATTTAAAATTTTTATGTCATAAAAAAGGGAAAAGCCTGCTCGCGCAACGGGACCGCCATTTTGGGTTTTTTAAATTGGATACGACGTTAAATAATGGGAAGAATTTTCGTGCTTAAGGTTAAAATTTGGATTGACACCTCTCAAATAGGAGGCGAAATTGTTGGATGTGCATTCCTGCATAACTTGAGATATCAGACGACTGGACAAGACAGCTCCAGGAACCTCAGATAAGCTCTCTAGATTTTGTTATAATTCTGGCCAGCATTATTTTCATAGATTTAGTTAGAGTGAGGTTTTCTGAGTATGATACACATTAATCTCCAGTCAAATTGGTGAGTGATTATAAGTTTATAATTTTCCTTCTGTTATGTATATGTGAATTTATATATTATGATTTTTTAATATACAGTCCACAAATTTATATATTTACCAGTATTCCTGGTGTATGTATATTTCATTTAATTAATAGGTCCAGAGCAACTTGTGGATATGACAGTGGTAGGTATCGAAGGGGGACATTTTTTGCGACCTGTGTCCCAAATTCCTACTTGTCTAACTGATAAATAATAGTTATCATTGTTCATTTACTGTTGTGTATATAATTATACATCCAAGTAAATGCAATTTTCCACAACTACATCACTTCCCAGATTGTTCCACTTCCTGACGACTATGGCTGAAGAAATACTTCTTAACATTCCTGTGGCTCATCTGAGTGGTCACAACTTCCAGTTGTGACCCTTTGCTGCTGTTAGTGGTGTGGTGGTGGTGGTGTGTGGTAGTGAAGGTGTGGTGATGTGGTAGTGGTGAAGGTGTGCTAGTGGTGGTGTGTAATAGTTGTGGTGTGATAGTGGTGTGTGATAGTGGTGACTAGTAGTGTAGGATGTGGTAGTGGTGTAGGATGGGGGTGGTGATAGTGGTTGGTGTGTGATAGTAGTGGTGGTGTATGATAGTGTGATGTGGTCTGTAGTAATGGTAGTATGTAGTAGTAAACAGTCTATGCAATAATAGGTTAAAAAATCAGATTGGAGGAAGGGAGAATGGAGGAAGGGGATGTATACAAGGTATTTGGGAGTGGATATGTCATCAGACTAGTCTGTGAAAGATGAGGTGAACCATAGAATAGATGAGGGTAAAATGGTAGGTGGTGTATTGGGGCATCTGTGGAACAAAATCTTAAGCTGAAGGATACTGTGGGGGTCTGTGCCCCTATTTCCCAGACCAGGCCTCCCAGTAGATCAAGGCCTGATCAACCAGGCTGTTACTGCTGGCTGCAACCAGTCCAGGGCATGAACCACAGCCTAACTGGTGTACTCATTAGGAGGCCAAAAAAGGAATGTACTGAAGTATATTGGTACCAACACTTTTGTATGGGTGAGGGGCAAGTGCTTGAATGTCATGTCTGAGATCAATGTGTGTTGTGAATATTATGCAGAGTTTTCATTGCAGAAATTAAGAGATGGTGTGGAGTTACAAAGATATAATTCCGAGAACTGAGGTGGTTTGAGCATGTAGGAGATGGAGAGGGATTGAATGACGAAGAGAGCATATAAATCTGGGATGAAAGGTAGGAAGGGTAGTTGTCTCAAAAATGGTTGGAAGGAGGTGGTAAAGGTTTTGAGCTGTAGGAGCTTGAGCATCCAGGAGATTTGTTTGAGTATGTTACATAATGAATGGAGATAAATGGTTGTAATGGGCTTGCTGCTAGAATATGAGCAGGGTAACATATATGTAGAGATTCAGGGAACTGGTTAGCCAGACATGAGTCCTGGAGGTGGGATGTACAATGTGGTCTGAATGAGAGGTGGGGGAAGTCACAGATGTCGGCACACCTCTGGCAAGACAGCAATCCTTCTTTGTTTTGTTTCCAATCTTAATTTCCTTGGGGAGGTTCCTTGATGCCAGTTAGAGGTGTTTAATCCAAGGAATTGGACCTGATCTCCCCTTTCTTGGATTGAATCCAACTGCCTCCCATGGATGTTTAAATAATACGACACTCTTATCCTTGTCAGTAATTCACCAGTTTCTTATTTTTTGCTGAAACTTAGGATCAAGGTGCTATGACCCTTATGAGGTAGCACTTCACCATGAAGATACTATATCTTACTAGGGCCTCACTTGTTTTTATTGCCTGGTGTCATTTTGTTAATCAGCAAATGCTCTTTTTTTCCATAATCGGAGATATTTTCTGCACGGTAATTTTTTTTTCAACGAACCGGCCACATCCCACCAAGGCAGGGTGACCTAAAAAGAAAAAGGAATAATGAAAGTTTTTCTTTTTAAATTTAGTAATTTATACAGAAGGGGTTACTAGCTCCTTGCTCCCGGCATTGTAGTTACCTCTTACGCCACTCATGGCCTACAGAGGAAAAATTCTTTTCTACTCACCCATGGAGCTGCATGGTAATATATTTCCTAAATTAGCTTAGGATTCTGAGAAATCACTAAGTGTACTGACCTGTGTTTACTAGCATTGAGTTTGAGCTTCCAAGTTTCAATCACTAATGGTACTATGTGATGCATCCCTGATCCATTGGGATTTGTCATATGAACAAGCATTTCAACTGATGTATGGTGTTTGCAGGTACTACTACTTCCAGGGCAGTTGACTTGCTTATCACCCTCCCACTGAAGTTGCATCTTATATCTCTTTGGCTTATTTTGCTCCTTCATCTTGGTTCAAACTCTTCTTGGTCTGTTTGAAACCTCTTGACCTTTGTTTCTGGCCATACCAAACCCAGACTCCTATCAAAAGCTAATTATAGTTGATCACCTGAAGATTCACACCTCCAAGCAAAACAGTTTAAACATATTTTAAGATGGGATTCAGCTAGCATGTTAACCAAAAAAAAATGTTACTTAAATTTTAGCAATGTTAGGTTGCTATGTTTTGGTGAAAAACTGAAAATTAGCAAATAAATAATTTTTCATATATTTAGTTAATAGTTTACCTTGGGAAATGAGTCTTCAACTGATCCATAGCTTCTTTCTACATGATTTCCTATTTACTTTATACCAGGCAGAGGTCACACATGCAAAGAGGCTATAATTAGTTTCTTACCCTAAGTCAAGGTTTAGTACAAGTGAAAGTCAAGAGGATGATAGCTTCATTGAAGATATTCTTATGTTGAAATTTTAATGCTCTTATCAAACACATTGCCAGCAAAATATATTCATTTTAACAGTGTAAATGCTGCCACTATGGGAATTAAGAAGACAACCAACATCAGTCTCAAAAGTGTTATATTGACTGCATCCTGTATTTTGTAGTTGTGAATATAATAAATTAAGATATTTTAAGATTTATTGTTAAGGGTAAACTTATAAAGCTTAATTTTTTTTTTTACAGAAATACAGAATAATTCTATATTCAAGTAAAAAGAATCAATATTACTCGGGCCACTATTTCCAGAATGGTAAATATCAATGCTATAACTAACCCTTGAAAACAATATAGTATATATAATATTAAAATTTATACTCTGTTGTTCATTGAGAAAAGTAAATTATATGGTAACTTTTACTTTTCAGGAATGATTTAGACTGTTATATCAAGTGTGTGTGACGTTTACCAATATAAACTGTCATAATATGTTATTCCTGTCACACAAGTAGAGATACTGAGAATTTTCCATACACAAGTTTGTGCAATAAATTCAACCAAATAAATACCAGTACATTTATAAAAATACTTGGATAAGTAGATAGGAAATACATTGAACCTCTTATAAATATAGTTATAAAAATATGATTAATTTATATACATTTTTCACGCACAAAAATGTACCTGGCTTTACCATAAAGAAGATACAAGCAGTGATTAAGAAACAGCTGTTTGGTTATCAGAAAAAATAAATAAAGGTCATTAAGCATTTTGAGAACAGACATGTCACTAAAGCATAGCAATTTTGCATGTCCAATAAAAGCAAGCACACACCCAAGTACAGTGGCAACATGTTATTTAAATATACGTACTTTGCAAATTTGACTTTTTTTTTCCATGCATATAAACCAAATTTATCAAAACTTCATAATACAGGTAAAGCTATGTGCCCCTGAAAATATATCTAAATCATGTGGTAGGCACATTCAGTAACTTTGAGCTATTGTAGCTCCTATAAAATTTATCTTACAAATGAATACACTTTTTTTTTCAGTACATATCCATTACAAGACATGAAAGACACCCTATCACAACATACAGTACCACAGTCCCTTCAAAATATACATAACTTGCTTTATCACTATACGTACAACATACATACTATGTACTTTATATACAACTGTATAGTAACTTAAATAATTATGAAACTACGTATACTGTACTGAAATTGTAAAAAATTAAATTCTATAAAAACAAACAACATTCATAAAAGTATATAATAAATAATATATCTTAAAATATCAAAGTACAATACATAAACAACAGCACAGGGAGTTAGGGAGTCCTGCTTCATCTGTCAGTAGGCAAGTACAGACAGACCTCAAGTTTCGAACAGCTCCCAACTCAAACAATTATGTAAGTGTATTTTTGTAAGTGCTTTTCTAAGTGTATTTTTGGGGGCCTGAAACGGACTAATCTAATTTACATTATTCCTTATGGGAACAAATTCATTTGGTATCAGCACTTGAACAGCCTTCTGGAATGAATTAAGTTCGTAACTCGAGGTACCACTGTATGCTTAAATACCACCTTCTCATCATGGAATAACAGTTTCCACAAAGTGATATCCTAACTGGATTATAAGCGTCATAATTGAAACATATTTTCTTGCTAATGTAGATGATGCAGATCCCATTCCACCTTTCAAATAACAAATTTTAATTTTTTAAATTTTTGTTCTAATATAGGACAAGTTGTAATAAACCAATTTTCCATATACAATAGTGTGAAATGAAGAATTTTGACAGTTAATGATTTATTTCTAATTTCTGTTCTTCACAGATGACGTTAAATGACAAAAGCTAAAAAAATAATCCAGGGTAGTGTTAACGAATGGCTATATAAGAATTCACTATCCAAAATGCTGTGTAGTCCAATGACATCCAAAATCTTACCATAAATTATCATTTCATAATGTTCACTTTTATAATATATGTTACTAAATTTAACAGTGACTAATTACAGTACTATGAGCTATGAAAAAAATGCAAGTAAAATATTACCACTGTAGAATTTTAAGTACACTAAAATAAAAATTGAAATTATAATAAATTATAACCACAAAACTGTATAGCAGATGTGTGAGAAAAAAATAATATTACAGAAAAAAATTACTGACCTCTGAATGTTAACAATAACTGCTGGAAATATGGTGCAAAAACCTATTTACAATTACAGTGCAAAATTTCTTATATTTCTGCATATTCAGATTTTCCTGCTGATTGCCCATAAGATGTTAGGAAGGCAAGGAAAAATTTATTTATATTCTTTGGTGGATACAGCAAATCAAAACTGCAATAGTTTACCACATACAGGTATTCTCAACCATAAATCAGAGAGGATTGCTGGTGGGGGGGGGGGGGAATACTTTATCTTTTCTCCCTACCTCCAAAGAAAAAAAAAGGACAAGGGTTCTATGTACAAGCAGTCATTTGGCATGGCCATGGGCTCACCAATGAGTGCAGTCATGGCCAACCTGTACATGGAACACTTGGAGGAGGATCGGTTTAATGTCCACATGTCCAAAGAGGTAACCTCAACCTCCTCAACGACAAACTTGGTAGAATCTTTAATAAAATTTGTCACATTAGAGGAAAAAGACAGATATATACTGTACGTTTTCTGGATGTCATAATTTGTAAGGTCAAACATAAACTTGATTTTAAGGTATACTGCAAACCAGCTAACAAGAATTATATATATATATATATTTACTTCACTACCTATCACATCACAACAGAACAAAAAATAGGACACTTGTTGGTTTCTTCCTAAGGGATCACAAGATTTCTTCAAAACCCATCTTCTTCAAAGAAGAACTACTTCTTCAAGGGTGATGGACTGATTATATTATCTTTACGTCTCTACTGCTTCTGCTGCTGCCTCCTCTGTAATCAACTGAAGAAGCCTACTGTGTAAGCGAACGTTTTGGAATAAAGATACTTAACTGTTGCACATGTCTTACTTATCAAGAATGAGCCTACACTAGTAAAGCCTTCCTTAAACTTTGCTGTCCACAGCACATCACCACCAACTGCAGGAAGTAAGCAAAGACAATGCCAGATGAAAGTCCAACCACAGCAAATAGCTCGACCTTAGAGCAACACAAACATTGACCTCAAAATCTTAACCACAGCTAACTATGTATATCCTTCATCACCATAAAGGATTTAGTGAAAAATAAAACTGGCAAAAGACACCACTTCCAGCATCTACATGACAACAAGTGAAGGTTGTGATAAGTTTTATGTGGATGAAACTTCTAGGGACCTGAACATGAAGGTCAGCAAACAGAGGTGCCTGCCAGAAAGATAACACAACACTTATATTATTCCCTGCAACACAGAACCATCTGATAAACTTTTCCAGTGCCAAACTACTTATAATGGAAGGAGACAGAACAGACCAGGCTTGGAATCTGCTCTTCCTGCCATGACTAACACTATTGCAAAGAAAATCGAGTTTACTGCTGGTTTCAGAAGCATTTGCTAAATTTATTCTCAGCAAATTTGACCACTGCAGTTGGCCTACTAGTCAATCCTAATTTTTGCTTAGCCAAGTCACATGACAACAGGTGACATGACCCACCCAATTCTATATTTCACCTCGTGTTTTTTCCACTACATATATGCTCCATTTTGCTCATCTCTGCCAAGATATAAAGTCCCTAATGAACAAGACATTTCCTTCATAAAATGGTATAAACCTTACATTGCATCTCTTTAACATAAGTACTTGTCGATACATTCTACTGTGGTTCGTACATTGGACTGTGTGTGGACAGTAGTAACAGCCTAGTTGATTAGACCCTGATCCACCGGGAGGCCTGGTTAAGGACTGGGCAGAACAACCTCTAGGTAGGTACTTTGTTCACTTCACTGAATGACCCATAAAAGTTCAGTACAGTATTTCAATAAATGCAATCTGTGTGTGTCTGCTGCTCAATGTGACATGCAAGCTGTGGGAATCTGCATGTTCTTGGAACTATTATACATGTTTAAATATTTACTTCTAATATGTGGAATATACTGTAGTGCATATTGACTTATTTGTACATTTATGATGGGTAACATGTTATACAATTATGTCTACTGGTACTGAAAGTGATAAAAATTACTAGTACAGATTTTGTATATTGAACATACAGTCACATGCAATCTCTCATGCACAGAAAACTTGGTCACCAGCAAGGGATGGCATTGGGTATAGTGCTTGGCTGCCAGGAGGGAGGCAGATTGTACGTAATGTACTGGAATTTGTTTTTTGTGGATAACTTCTAGGATTTCTGGAACATTATTGTACTATTTCACATATTATATATGTTGTGTAGAGGTAATTTAGGTTTTCATGTATGTAGTAGAATCCCACCTAATGCCCAAGATTGAGACAGGAGAAAATGTTTAAGTGAAAATTAAAGGAAAGGTAAGGCATACTTATTTTTTATAAACTTATGATTTCTAATATAGTTTTATATGCTTTACAATTCTAAAAGAAAAAAAAATGCCCATGGCAGGGCTGTCAACTCTACTCCCAATGCCTAGATTAATAAATACTATCTTACATACAATATTTAATGAAATAAACTTCTATAATAATAATAATAATAATAATGCTATAGAATACAAAAAGCATACTCTACGTCAAGCATAATTTTGGTATAGTGTACTGCACAGCATAAAAGTCTGATACGTTACTACTGGCACTAAAGTATTCCTCATGCTTTTAATTTTCTGATACAAGTGGTTTTATATCTTAGCCAAAAAGTGGGGGCATATGTTAGAGCAATTTCTATTAAACTGAGAAAAAAGTTTTGACTTATGGCTGAGAATATACTGCATTTTAATTCAATAAAAACCTATATTTACCACCAGTAACAAAATAGTTCTTGGAAACCTGCAACTCCTTAGTGGTACATCTAGTAAAATCATGGGTATAGACACAATATACCCATACCTGTTTGCATTACACCTCTACATCCTGTTCATGAACCCATACAATATATGCAAGTCATTTATAATCACTGACAAAAATGTTAAGTACTTATGCAATATAGTTGATCTAGAATATGGCTTCCCTGTACTTATTCCACAAAGGAATATAACTTTTGTTACAACCACAAATACTCTGAAAATGTGAAATGTGAATACTGAAGTATCTTAAATGAAATGCTCTGAGCAACAATAAATTCTGTAACTATGTAGCATATGTAAGTGGGAAGATTTCCTTAATTGCATACAAGAGTTGGCAGTAACTTCCTAAATTACATTCTGCTTATACAGCATCTGACATGAAGACAAAAAAAATCCTTGAAGTCATTCTTACAATTTATTTTTTCTAAAATCCATCCTCTTGTATGAATGATAATGCTGCAATGTTATTTTTGAGAACAAATATGGTATACATGACTAGGAAACCCAACATGGAATGTAAAAGATTTGTTAACATGGCATATATTTAATTAATAGTTTACTTTGAGGAATGACTCTTGAGCTGAACTATAGCTTTTTTCTCTATGTAATTACACATTCTCTCTATTGGGAAAAGAGGTCATGCTGCTACCAGTCTCATTTATAGCAAAACTTTTAGAAAATATAAAAAATATAAAAAGTGATGTATTCACCGAGTCGTTGGGCATGGCTGATCTACCATTTGTAATGTTGTCAAGACTTCAATCCAACGTACTAGATATAGTAACACATCGACGTCATTACTCTTGATTTCGTGCTCAGAGCCTGACAACTGGCTATGGCTTTCATCCTGAGGAGACAAGACGTAAGTATGAAGAAATCATGTAGAGAGAATATTTAGGCAGTGCATAATAATAATTTTAGGAAGGGGAGAATTGGTTAGAGATATTATAAAAGACTAAATAGATTAACTGAGCTTGGACTGTTAGCAAAGCTGCACTGCTTATGGTTATTAAAGATGCTCAATACAATGCAAATGCTTTAGGTTACAGAATTATGCTTAATAATCTTGAGCAAACTTTTGTCAACTCCAATTAGCAAACGTATATTAACAACATTTAGGTTTTCTTAGCTTTTCGAAATAACCTTCAATGTCCAAAGCTGGCACATTATTCAGTTATTTTTTTCTTACATTACTGGATTTACAGACTAAGACCTCTTCAAGGGGGGCTCCTTGGCGTGGTGAAGAGGCTCTTGGTCTGAGGAATTAGCCCTGTCGGTCTTCTTCCTCAGACCGAACCTAATTACCCCCCATTCTCCCCTCCCCTATCCCATCCTCCCCTTTTTCCATTCCTCCTCCTCCTCCCCACCCCTCTTTTGCCCTTCCTCTTTTTGGCCTTTGGGATTTCTCCCACAGGCGCGCTAGTTCCTAGGTAGGGGAAAGGACACCGGGGTCCATCCCATTCTGTTGAGGTTCTTGGCGGTGGCGTAGTTTGCCGTGGAATCTGGATTGCCTGGGGATGTCCCGATCCCTCTCCGGTATCCCGGAGTAGCTTTGGGTGTTATTCGGGCGACGGGTGTATCTCTGGAAGCCACCTTTCGGATTCCGGGGGTGGTGGCTGAAGGAGGTATGCTTTGTGGTGGATATCCGGCTGCCCTCTCTTGTCCACCGAGGTAGCTCGGCAGATGTGAGGTTGCTATCCCGGATTGCTGGTTTACTGGCATGAAGGGTAGGGTATGGCACGGGTTCCATGCTGCATCTGCGCTACTAGCGGTGCTGAGGTCCTCTTGGGCGCGGAGGGAGATTTCCGGCCCTTTCATTCCTCCTGGGAACTATTCCTCCCCGCTCCCCCCTTTCTTTATTCTTTTTTTTTTTTACTTTTATTTTCTTTTCTTCTTTCTTTTTTTTCTTAAAAACAAAAAGCAAAGGAGTAACCTAACCATGGAAAACCCCAATCCATGAACCCACTACCCCGGGCCCCTTCTTGATACCGCACCCCATTCTGACCCTGCCTTGTGTTTAGACCACTTTTCGGACACTCCTGATGCCCCTGTACCTCTTGCTAGTGCTGTTTCCTCGCCTGCTTCAGGTACCGGGGCTTCGACTGACTCCTTCGATTTGTCTGAACTCAGCTCTCCTTTGACTATGCTTCCAGCTTCTCCCTCTACGGTACGGCAATTTTCGAATCGCCCGCCCATTTCCCGCCGGACCAACTCCGGTCCTACTCCTAAACGCCAACGTCAATCTCCTGATGATGCTCCTTCGTTACCTTCTCATTCTACTCGGAAAAGACCGACACATCAAGCACTCCCTCTCCACGCTCAGTTTCGGACCACACAATGGACTAAATTCTTTACTTTAAGACCGACTTCTTCTTCTGCCTACCTTTCTGACCATAGTATTGGCAAAGCGCTCCTGCGTCATGTTGGTAGAGATATTTCATTTCATGCTCTCAAGAGCGGTACGTGCATCGTCACTATCCAAAATGCTACCCAAGCTCATGATCTTTCTCTCCTTTCGAATATCGATACTACTCCTATCACTATTGAAAAACATCTTTTTTCTCAATTCTTGTAGTGGTACTGCCCATTCTGCCCATACCATAGTCCAACAGAATTCCAGTCATGTGGCAATGACATTCTTGAACAGCTGGAACTCCAGGATCTCCCAATCCTCAAAGTAGACACTTATGTCCTTCCTGCCCAGGGCGGAGACTTACCCTTGCAATGTGGCTCGTTTAACTTTTGACAGCCGAGAACTCCCGTCCTCTGTATATGTCGCGGGACATCGGTTACAAGTTCGAAAGGTGATAACTACACCGCAACAATGTAGAAATTGCTGGCGTTTTGGCCACCCAGCGAAATATTGCAGATCTATGGCCGAATGCCCAGTCTGTGGTGCCGACGACCATTCTAATACATCTTGCAGTCAACCTCCATCTTGCCTTAATTGTAATGAAGCTCACCCTTCGTACTCCCGCCGTTGCCAGGTCTACTTAAATGAACGTGAAATCCGTTGCCTCAAAGAGGCAGAAGGTCTCCTTTATGCTATGGCAGTTACTCATCTCCGCCTCCAAGGGAGACTACCCCGTGTTTCTTATTCTCGTGTTTCCAAACATCCCCCTACTTCTGGGGTCCCATCTTCTGCAGCCTCCTCTGTTGTTACCCCTCCCATAGCCACTCCGGCATCTAATCCTTTTGCTGTCCTTGGCTCTGACGTCCCGACTACAACTCAAGTCAGTTCTCACATCTTCGCGTCCTTCCTCACAAGCCCCAGTATCGACAAGACCTCGTACGACACCTACTACCAATCGCCCCTCTACTTCTCAGAAGTCCAAAAAATCCACATTGCTCAAATCTTCTTTGCCCCTTCCTTCCCTTCTTCCACCTCCACACTTTACCTTTCCAGTCTCTGTACCTAGTTCTTCCCCTCTCTCTGGCTCTATTACAAGTGTGGAGATTCACCCTCCTCCTCGTACTATGCCTTCCACCCCCGTCCCCTCCCAATTTTTCTCCCTCTGGCCACCTCCCAGGTTTCTGCCTCTTCTGTCCCCCCCCCACACTTCATCTCCAGTCCCTTACACTCTTCCCTCCCCCTCTACTTTGGTACAGTCCATTACTGTCCCAATCTTTACTCACCCTCCTCCTCCTATCTCCAATATGGTCTCCCATACATCTTTGAATTCAGAAACACTTGAAGCCATTTCAGAATATATTGCAGAGACTAAACCTTCAATGGACACTGATTCCCACTTCCTTTTCCTTCTCTTCCCTCTCCTCCATTCACAACCCATTCTTCGCAATGCTCCTTTCCCTTTCGCTGCTTGAACGTCTCAATGCCACCACACTTGACTGCTTGAACGTCTTCCAATGCCACCACACGTTGACTTTTCTAACCCTCTAGTCCGTAGGTGCCTTTACCTACAGATTCCTGGTATTTTCTTCATCGCCAATCATGGCCTATTTACAGTGGAATATCTGCGGCCTCAGGGTAATTGGGGTGAGCTTCAGATGTTGCTTTCCAGGTTTTCCCCTGTTGGTGCTTGCTTACAAGAACCAAAATTACACTCGGCTGTTTCCAACCTATCTCAGGCTATAATTTATTGTATTCTTCGGATCCTTTCTCAGATGGGACCTTTAATGAAAGTGCCCTTCTTCTACGCAATGATATTCCGTACTGTCAACTATTTGTCCATACCTCGTTTGCATTACACTGCAGCCCGTATCCACTTGAATAAGTGGTTTACAATATGTTCTTTATATCTCTCTCCTTATTGAGCATTTTCTATCCCAGACTTTGCCTTTCTTGTTTCATCCTTACCACCACCACTTCTGTTATTTGGTGATTTTAATGCCCACCATTTCCTCTGGGGGGGGGGGGTCTCATTGTGACTTACGTGGCATCCAGTTGGAGGCTTTTCTCGCCTCTCACCCCCTCCATGTTTTAAATACGGGTACTCCCACCCATTTTGATCCTCGTACTCATACTCTCTCTTACATCGATCTATCAGTCTGCTCTTCCCCCACTGAACTAGACTTCACCTGGTCTGTTCTACCGGACTTACATGACAGCGATCATTTTCCAATCATTCTTACTTCTCCTTCCTATTCACCACCTTTCCGTAGCCCTCGCTGGCAATTTGATCGGGCAAATTGGGATCTTTACTCACACCTCACTGCTTTTAGTGAGGTTCCTTCTTCATCCTCCATTGATGAGCTCCTACACATCTTCTCGACGTCAGTTTATACCGCAGCTTCTCATTCTATACCCCAAGCCTCAGGCAGGCATTCTCAGAAGTGCATGCCTTGGTGGTCTCCTGCTTGTGCTCGTGCCGTACGTTTGAAACGCGCTGCATGGGGCAGGTACCGGTACAATAGAACCGCTGAGAGACTTCTTGATTTTAAGCAGAAGCGTGCGATTGCTCGCCGTGTCATCCGTGAAGCTAAACGCACTTGTTGGCGAGACTATGTTTCCACCATCACCTCTGCTTCTTCTATGAGTGCAATCTGGAAAAAAAGTGAGGAAATTGAGTGGTAAATATTCTGACCCGGCTCCTGTTCTATGGGTCGCTGGTGTTGATGTAGCAAACCCTCTCGACGTTGCCATTGAACTTGGCACACATCTGGTCCGTATTTCCCGAGGGCTCCATCTATGCCCCTCGTTTCTTTCCTCAAAGTCTGCCAGAGAGTTAGTACCCTTGGACTTTTCTTCTCTCAGAGAAGAAACAGTATAAATGTGCCTTTTACACTTCAAGAACTAGAGGGAACGCTCTCAGCTTGCCGATCATCGGCAGCTGGGCCTGACGACATTCATATTCGTATGTTACAACATTTACATCGTCACCCTTGTAGTCCTCTTACACCTCTTCAATCTTATTTTGGGCACAAGGAGTTCTTCCCCAGCTGTGGAAAAACTGCCATTGTTCTCCCTTTCCGCAAACCGGGTACTACAGGACATGATGCCTCCCACTATCGTCCCATCGCTCTTACTAGTGCAGTTTGCAAAGTGATGGAACGTCTCGTAAATCGACGTTTAATGTGGTATTTAGAGAGACACAACAGTCTCTCCGCTAGTCAATATGGCTTTCGTAAGGGTCGTTCTACCATAGACCCCTTACTACGCTTGGATACGTATGTTCGTAATGCCTTTGCGAATAATCACTCAGTTATTGCCATATTTTTTGACCTTGAGAAGGCATATGACACAACTTGGAGGTATAATATTTTGGCCCAGGCCCATTCCTTAGGCCTCCGAGGCAATCTACCATCCTTCCTTAAGAACTTTTTAACTGACAGACATTTCCGTGTTCGAGTCAATAATGTTCTTTCCCCGGACTTCGTCCAAGCTGAAGGTGTCCCTCAAGGATGTGTTCTAAGCACAACACTTTTTCTCCTTGCTATAAATGATTTGGCATCTGTTCTTCCACCCAATATTTGGTCATCACTCTATGTTGATGACTTCGCTATTGCTTGTGCAGGCGCTGACTGTCATCTTATTGCAGTTTCTCTCCAGCATGAGGTCGACCGTGTTTCCACTTGGGCCACCATGCATGGGTTTAAATTTTCAAGTACCAAAACTTGCCAAATTACTTTCACTAGACGCTCTGTTATCTCCGATCATCCTTTGTATCTCTATGGCTCCCGTATCCCCGAACGTGATACAGTCAGGTTTCTAGGCCTTCTCTTTGACCGTAGGTTATCCTGGAAACCTCACATTACCTCTCTGAAGGCAACTTGTCACAGCCGGCTAAACCTTCTTAAAACCCTTGCTCATCTTTCCTGGGGAGCTGATCGTCGAACTCTGCTTCGCCTACATTCAGCCCTCATTTTATCGAAACTCGATTATGGTGACCAGATTTATTCCGCGGCCTCTCCTGCTATTCTCTCTAGCCTTAACTCTATCCATCACCAAGGATTACGTTTGTGCCTTGGTGCTTTTCGCTCTTCCCCTGTTGAGAGCCTCTATGCAGAAGCGAATGTTCCATCCTTGTCTGATCGCTGTGGTGCCCATTGCCTTCGCTACTATGTACGCTCTCACGATCAACACAATCCTTCCATTTATAGAATGGTCACCGATATTAGTAGACATTCTTTATTCGTTCGCCGCCCCTGTTTGCTCCGTCCCTTTTCTCTTCGCCTGCATTCACTCTTGTCTTCCCTTCAGTTACCACCTTTATATGTTCATGTAGCATCTCACTTTTCCCTACCCCCCTGGGAAGTTCCAGCTGTTCGGGTCTGTTCTTTCTCACTCCCTTGCTCGAAAGCTCAACTGCCTACGGTGGCTTCCCGCTTTCTTTTCTTGATCACTTCCACATCCCATTCTCCATGCCACCGCTGTGTACACAGATGGCTCTAAGTCTTCAGATGGCGTCGGATTCGCAGCAGTGTTTCCAGACAGCGTCGTGCAGGGGCATTTACTATCTTCAGCTAGCATTTTTACTGCTGAACTGTATTGCCATTCTTGCAGCACTTATTCGTATCCATCTATGCCTGTGTCATCATTTGTAGTAGTCTCAGACTCCCTTAGTGCTCTACAGGCTATACGAAAATTTGATACACCCTCATCCCCTAGTTCTCCGTATCCAACTTTGGCTACGCCCGTATCTCTACCAAACATAAAGATTTGTTTTTTGCGGGTCCCTGGTCATGTCGATGTACAGGGCAATGAACAGGCAGACACTGCTGCGCGGTCAGCAGTACATGACCTACCAAATTTTCCCTAAGAGGTGTTTCATTTCGGGAAACTATTTGCTGCAATAGCTACCCACCTTTGCACCCGTTGGTAACAACGTTGGTCAACTCTGCTGGGTAAAAAACTTCATTCTATTAAACCGAGCATAGGTTACTGGCCGTCTTCTTGTCACAATGCCGAGGTTGGGAGACCACTCTCTCCGCCTTCGCATTGGCCACACTCGTCTTACTCATGGGTATCTCATGGAGAGGCACCCTGTTCCTCTCTGTGAGCAGTGTCAAGTTCCAGTATCGATTAGCCACATTCTGTTAACTGCCCTCTCATCAAACGAGCACGCAGATTTACCTCCAAGTCTCTTGTTTACTAACTCCTCTTTCCCTTTCCCTTCTTGCTGATGGACCCTCCTTTAATCCTGACTCTCTCATTGACTTCTTGACAACGACTGATTTACTCCACAAACTCTGATGATACTTTTCGCACTCCCCTCACCCCTTTCTAGTTCAGTCTCTTGCTGCCCTTTACCCTTTCACCATCCACTACCCCGCTGTTATCCGTAACCTATTACTCATCCATCTCCCTTTTGCCACCTGATGCCCTCGCTTCCTTCCTGCCCTGCAGCGCTGTATAGTCCTTGTGGCTTAGCGCTTCTTTTTGATTATAATAATAATAATACAGACTAAGAACTGTTAGCCTACCTCAACTCATTTCAAAGTCTAGTTTTATCTAAGGTATGCCCTCAACAGCTGGCTAACACCTGGGTACTTATTTGCTGCTAGCTTAAGTAAATTAACCCAACATCTTCATCCATCCCAGGATCAAACCCAAGTCCTTCGTTGGTGAGTCAAAGGCACAACCACTGATCTATGTACCACACACGGCTAAAGATCAGTCCACTATTGTATATGTATTTGAGCCTAAGGGCCTTCTGCTCACTTATAACAGACTGAATAAGTGCTAAATTAAGAATGTGGATAAAGATTTAAAACATCTTGTAAAATGTGTTCACAATCAGGAAAATCTTGGCTGAAATCACTATAGTTGAAGCAAGATAAGTTATTTAATGGTGTTTACACTGCATTATAGAATTTTCTTACCTGTCTAAGAACCAATAGTATAGAATTATCTTTGAGAGTTGGCTGATGCAACAAATTACGTACTGCAACCTTCCAGCTGATGTCCCAACCTCCCCATAAGCTGCAGCGTTCTAGCTTGAAGATGTGCCTTAGGGGGTTTGGATGGAAATTTAATAATAATTAGTGACTGACCCCAAGATATTTTTAATATTTAACATTGCTCACATGACACTATTGTAAGGTATTACAGTACACATTATTATATTCCTAAAAGTTAATCTTGCAGCCATGACAGGATTAGAGAGTGAGCATTTGCTATCACTTTATAAAGTCGAACACAAATTGTAAATGATATTGAATAACATAGATAAGATGCTTTTATGACAGAAGATGCAATATGACTGTCTAATGTTCTTAATTTTATTATATTATTATTATGACAGAAGTTAGTTAAATTTTACTATGAAAAGTTGGTTATCACCAGCATCAGCCTTCCATAAAATAGCCATATTTGTGTCTGAACCAAGTGCCTGTTCCTCCCCAAATTTTTAAGGAAGGAACATGACTTGCTAAGAGAAGGGAAGCAGGAGTGTGGAGGAAGTGGGTAAGACAATGACCAAATTGGTCATTCTGCTGAAAGTTGATCAATATATACATTTGGAATAGTTAGTGTATTTATTAAATGTGTGTATACAGTACAGTGGACCCCTGGTTTACGATATTTTTTCATTCCAGAAGTATGTTCAGGTGCCAGTACTGACCGAATTTGTTCCCATAAGGAATATTGTGAATTAGATTAGTCCATTTCAGACCCCCAAACATACACGTACAAACGCACTTACATAATTGGTCGCATTGGGAGGTGATCATGAAGCGGGGGTCCACTGTATATGTATATACAAGTAACCATCATACAGATTGTAGAACTATGTTATTAATGCCAGGGTCCGTTTTGTAGATCTACATCATGAGCTCAGCTCACTCAGATAAGCTGTGAGAGAATGGTCTGTGCAGTGAGTCCACAGTATAAAAAAAAATCCAGCCCCATGCAGTGCATAATGTGAAAAGCAAAACTCTGACCTTGTGTTTGGCTTAAAATGGCAACTTTGAGGTGTTTTCTATGATGCTTTTTATGGTTTTATTGGCTGTTTCTTGGAAGACATGCTACTGAAATAGAGATGATCTTGGTTGGTTTCTCAACCAGAAGTAGTTTGAAACTTGGCTCAAAGTAGCGGAATATGTATTCAATTTTTCGTGTAAAATTGGCCAGATTGTTGACTTCTGTGCACTTTATAGGGTAGCTCTAATAGTTGAATGGGCAGTTTTGTGTACTCAATCAACAGAAATAAAGGCATAATATTGAAACAGCTAAGAATTTGTTTGAAAAGGACTCAAAGTGAGCAAAATCATCGATGTGTAAATTATGCCCAGACCACTAATTTTGTGCCTGCATAATTCTGTAAGTTTTCCAACAAATTTTGTACTTTTGGTGACATTAACTTCAGAAAAAGATTCTCTACCATTTCAGATTTTTTTTTTCAGGAAGTACATACTGAGAGTAATACTAATTTCAGGGGTCTGGGCAGTGAGAGGGTTAAAAATGGTAAAAGAGCATACACAGTTTCCTTGTTTGTTTTGTATGCACATATGTTTTGATTGGAAAGCAGTAAAATACAGTGGACCCCCGGTTAACGAACTTTTTTCATTCCAGCAGTATGTTCAGGTACCAGTACTGACCGAATTTTTTCCCATAAGGAATATTGTGAAGTAGATTAGTCCATTTCAGACCCCCAAACATACACGTACAAACGCACTTACATAAATACACTTACATAATTGGTCGCATTTGGAGGTGATCGTTAAGCGGGGGTCCACTGTATTTTGACACTGAAATTTTCTGCCACTACTTACTTGTCTGAGATGAGAATAATATCAGGTCTGTTTGATTCAGAGAGTGTGGCATGTGCAATATACCAGTCAGTTTGCATATAATGTCCATGGCTGAGTGATGCTAAAAGTGTCATTCCTGCAGCTTCGTGGCTGTCATATGGACGCATCGCTATGAATGGAGACACGTGCCGAGGTACACGAGACCTTAGGATGACCTGGAAGTAATCGTGATATAAATTATAATCTATTCAGAATATAACTGGTTTATAAAAAAAAATCAGCTTTTTGAGCATGGTGAAGTCTGGCTAATGCAGGTGTTCAGAAGGTCTGGAAGGATACAAAAGAAAAGATAGCATGATTTTGAAAAGAGGATCTTGTATATGAGTGCCAGTGATGGAAAGTTGGGAATCAAGGCAATACACAGTACAAGATTCTAAATATAACATAAATAAAAGCAAGAAAGATGGGTGACTGAATGATCAGACTTTAAAGGTCTGGAAACAAAAGCTGAAGAAAGAGTTACTTTAAGGCAATCTTCAGGGGAAACTGTCTTGATACTAGTTAAGGGCATTAATACACAAATAACCCGCACATAAAAGAGAGAAGCTTACGACGACGTTTCGGTCCGACTTGGGTTATTTGTGTATCGTTCCCTCTTCAAGGGGGGCTCCTTGGCGTGGTGAAGAGGCTCTTGGTCTGAGGAATTAGCCCTGTCGGTCTTCTTCCTCAGACCGAACCTAATTACCCCCCATTCTCCCCTCCCCTATCCCATCCTAACCTTTTTCCATTCCTCCTCCCCACCCCTCCCTTTTGCCCTTCCTCTTTTTGGCCTTTGGGATTTCTCCCACAGGTGCGCTAGTTCCTAGGTAGGGGAAAGGACACCGGGGTCCATCCCATTCCGTTGAGGTTCTTGGTGGTGGCGTAGTTTGCCGTGGAATCTGGATTGCCTGGGGATGTCCCGATCCCTCTCCGGTATCCCGGAGTAGCTTTGGGTGTCTTTCTGGCGATGGGTGTATCTCTGGAAACCACCTTTCGGATTCCGGGGGTGGTGGCCGAAGGAGGTATGCTTTGTGGCGGATATCCGGCCGCCCTCTCTTTTGTCCACCGAGGTAGATCGGCAGATGTGAGGTTGCTATCCCGGATTGCTGGTTTACTGGCATGAAGGGTAGGGTATGGCACAGGTTCCATGCTGCATCTGCGCTACTAGCGGTGCTGAGGTCCTCTTGGGCGCGGAGGGAGCTTTCCGGCCCTTTCATTCCTCCTGGGAACTATTCCTCCCCGCTCCCCCCTTTTTTTCTTTTTTTTATTTTTATTTTCTTCTTTCTTTTTTTTTTCTTAAAAACAAAAAGCAAAGGAGTAACCTAACCATGGAGAACCCAATCCATGAACCCACTAACCCCGGGCCCCTTCTTGATACCGCACACCATTCTGACCCTGCCTTGTGTTTAGACCACTCTTTGGACACTCCTGATGCCCCTGTACCTCTTGCTGGTGCTGTTTCCTCACCCGCTTCAGGTACCGGGGCTTCGACTGACTCCTTCGATTTGTCTGACCTCCGCTCTCCTTTGACTATGCTTCCGGCTTCTCCCTCTACGGTACGGCAATATTCGAATCGCCCGCCCATTTCACACTGGACCAACTCCGGTCCTACTCCTAAACGCCAACGTCAATCTCCTGATGATGCTCCTTCGTTACCTTCCCATTCTACTCGGAAAAGACCGACACGTCAAGCACTCCCTCTCCACGCTCAGTTTCGGACCACACAATGGACTAAATTCTTTACATTAAGACCGACTTCTTCTTCTGCCTACCTTTCTGACCATAGTATTGGCAAAGCGCTCCTGCGTCATGTTGGTAGAGATATTCCATTTCATGCTCTCAAGAGCGGTATGAGCATCGTCACTGTCCAGAATGCTACCCAAGCTCATGATCTTTCTCTCCTTTTGAATATCGATACTACTCCTATCACTATTGAAAAACATCTTTCTCTCAATTCTTGTAGTGGTACTGTCATTCTGCCCCATACCATAGTCCAACAGAATTTCCAGTCATGTGGCAATGACATTTTTGAACAGCTGGAACTCCAGGATCCCCCAATCCTCAAATATATGTCCTTCCTGCCCGGGGGCGGAGATGTTACCCTTGCAATGTGGCTCATTTAACTGTTCACAGCCGAGAACTCCCGTCCTCTGTATATGTCGCGGGACATCGGTTACAAGTTCGAAAGGTGATACCTACACCGCAACAATGTAGAAATTGCTGGCGTTTTGGTCACCCAGCGAAATATTGCAGATCTATGGCCGAATGCCCAGTCTGTGGTGCCGACGACCATTCTAATACATCTTGCAGTCAACCTCCATCTTGCCTTAATTGTAATGAAGCTCACCCTTCGTACTCCTGCCGTTGCCAGGTCTACTTAAATGAACGTGAAATCTGTTGCCTCAAAGAGGCAGAAGGTCTCCCTTATGCTATGGCAGTTACTCATCTCCGCCTCCAAGGGAGACTACCCCGTGTTTCTTATTCTCGTGTTTCCAAACATCCTCCCACTTCTGGGGTCCCATCTTCTGCAGCCTCCTCTGTTGTTACCCCTCCCATAGCCACTCCGGCATCTAATCCTTTTGCTGTCCTTGGCTCTGACGTCCCGACTACAACTCAGTCTGTTCTCACATCTTCGCGTCCTTCCTCACAAGCCCCAGTATCGACAAAACCTCGTACGACACCTAATACCAATCGCCCCTCTACTTCTCAGAAGTCCAAAAAATCCACATTGCTCAAATCTTCTTTGCCCCTTCCTTCCCTTCTTCCACCTCCACACTTTACCTTTCCAGCCCTCTGTACCTAGTCTTCCCCTCTCTCTGGCTCTATTACAAGTGTGGAGATTCACCCTCCTCCTTGTACTATGCCTACCACCCCCGTCCCCTCCCAAGTTTCTCCCTCTTGTGCCACCTCCCAGGTTTCTGCCTCTTCTGTCCCCCCCCCACAACTTCATCTCCAGTCCCTTACACTCTTCCCTCCCCCTCTGCTTTGGGTACAGTTCATTACTGTCCCAATCTTTACTCACCCTCCTCCTTCTATCTCCAATATGGTCTCCCATACATCTTTGAATTCAGAAACACTTGAAACCATTTCAGAATATATTGCAGAGACTAAACCTTCAATGGACACTGATTCACTTCCTGTTCCTTCTCTTCCCTCTCCTCCATCTTCACAACCCCATTCTTCGCAACGCTCCGTTCCTTCGTTACTTGAATGTCTTCCAATGCCACCACACGTTGACTTTTCTAACCCCTCTAGTCCGTAGGTGCCTTTACATACAGATTCCTGGTATTTTCTTCATCGCCAATCATGGCCTATTTACAGTGGAATATCCGCGGCCTTAGGGGTAATCGGGGTGAGCTTCAGATGTTGCTTTCCAGGTTTTCCCCTGTTGGTGCTTGCTTACAAGAACCAAAATTACACTCGGCTGTCTTCCAACCTATCTCAGGCTATAATTTATTGTATTCTTCAGATCCTTTCTCAGATGGGACCTTTAATGAAAGTGCCCTTCTTCTACACAATGATATTCCGTACTGTCAACTATTTGTCCATACCTCGCTGCATTACACTGCAGCCCGTATCCACTTGAATAAGTGGTTTACAATATGTTCTTTATATCTCTCTCCTTCTCGAGCATTTTCTATCCCAGACTTTGCCTTTCTTGTTTCATCCTTACCACCACTTCTGTTACTTGGTGATTTTAATGCCCACCATTTCCTCTGGGGGGGTCTCATTGTGACTCACGTGGCATCCAGTTGGAGGCTTTTCTCGCCTCTCACCCCCTCCATGTTTTAAATACGGGTACTCCCACCCATTTTGATCCTCGTACTCATACTCTCTCTTGCATCAATCTATCAGTCTGCTCTTCCTCCACTGCACTAGACTTCACCTGGTCTGTTCTACCGGACTTACATGACAGCGATCATTTTCCGATCATTCTTACTTCTCTTTCCTATTCACCACCTTTCCCTAGCCCTCGCTGGCAATTGATCGGGCAAATTGGGATCTTTACTCACACCTCACTGCTTTTAGTGAGGTTCCTTCTTCATCCTCCATTGATGCGCTCCTACACATCTTCTCGACGTCAGTTTATACCGCAGCTTCTCATTCTATACCCCAAACCTCAGGCAGGCATTCTCAGAAGTGCGTGCCTTGGTGGTCTCCTGCTTGTGCTCGTGCAGTACGTTTGAACCGTGCTGCATGGGGCAGGTACCGGTACAATAGAACCGCTGAGAGACTTCTTGATTTTAAGCAGAAGCGTGCGATCGCTCGCAGTGTCATCCATGAAGCTAAACGCACCTGTTGGCGAGACCATGTTTCCACCATCACCTCTGCTTCTTCTATGAGTGCAGTCTGGAAAAAAGTGAGGAAATTGAGTGGTAAATACTCTCCTGACCCGGCTCCTATTCTGCGGGTCGCTGGTGTTGATGTAGCAAACCCTCTCGACGTTGCCATTGAACTTGGCACACATCTGGTCCGTATTTCCCGAGGGCTCCATCTATGCCCCTCGTTTCTTTCCTCAAAGTCTGCCAGAGAGTTAGTACCCTTGGGCTTTTCTTCTCTCAGAGAAGAACAGTATAATGTGCCTTTTACACTTCAAGAACTGGAGGCAACGCTCTCAGCTTGCTGATCATCGGCAGCTGGGCCTGACGACATTCATATTCGTATGTTACAACATTTACATCGGTCAGCCCTTGTAGTCCTCTTACACCTCTTCAATCTTATTTGGGCACAAGGAGTTCTTCCCCAGCTGTGGAAATCTGCCATTGTTCTCCCTTTCCGCAAACCGGGTACTACAGGACATGATGCCTCCCACTATCGTCCCATCGCTCTTACTAGTGCAATTTGCAAAGTGATGGAACGTCTCGTAAATCGACGTTTAATGTGGTATTTAGAGAGACACAACAGTCTCTCCGCTAGTCAATATGGCTTTCGTAAGGGTCGTTCTACCATAGACCCCTTACTACGCTTGGATACGTATGTTCGTAATGCCTTTGTGAATAATCACTCAGTTATTGCCATATTTTTTGACCTTGAGAAGGCATATGACACAACTTGGAGGTATAATATTTTGGCCCAGGCCCATTCCTTAGGCCTCCGAGGCAATCTACCATCCTTCCTTAAGAACTTTTTAACTGACAGACATTTCCGTGTTCGAGTCAATGATGTGCTTTCCCTGGACTTCGTCCAAGCTGAAGGTGTCCCTCAGGGATGTTTTTAAGCACAACACTTTTCTCCTTGCTATAAATGATTTGGCCTCTGTTCTTCCACCCAATATTTGGTCATCACTCTATGTTGATGACTTCGCTATTGCTTGTGCAGGCGCTGACTGTCATTTTATTGCAGTTTCTCTCCAGCATGCGGTCGACCGTGTTTCCACTTGGGGCCCCCACGCATGGGTTTAAATTTTCAAGTACCAAAACTCACCAAATTACTTTCACTAGAAAGCTCTGTTATCTCCGATCATCTTTGTATCTCTATGGCTCCCGTATCCCCGAACGTGATACAGTCAGGTTTCTAGGCCTTCTCTTTGACCGTAGGTTATCCTGGAAACCTCACATTACCTCTCTGAAGGCAACTTGTCACGCCGGCTAAAACCTTCTTAAAACCCTTGCTCATCTTTCCTGGGGAGCTGATCGTCGAACTCTGCTTCGCCTACATTCAGCCTCATTTTATCGAAACTCGATTATGGTGACCAGATTTATTCCGCGGCCTCTCCTGCTACTCTCTCTAGCCTTAACTCTATCCATCACCAAGGATTACGTTTGTGCCTTGGTGCTTTTCGCTCTTCCCCTGTTGAGAGCCTCTATACAGAAGCGAATGTTCCATCCTTGTCTGATCGCCGTGATGCCCATTGCCTTCACTACTATTTACGCTCTCATGATCTACACACTCCTTCCATTTATAGAATGGTCACCGATATTAGTAGACATTCTTTATTCGTTCGCCGCCCCTGTTTGCTCTGTCCCTTTTCTCTTCGCATTCATTCACTCTTGTCTTCCCTTCAGTTACCACCTTTATATGTTCATGTAGCATCTCACTTTTCCCTACCCCCCTGGGAAGTTCCAGCTGTTTGGGTCTGTTCTTTCTCACTCCCTTGCTCGAAAGCTCAATTGCCTAAGGTGGCTTCCCGCTCTCTTTTTCTTGATCACTTCCACTCCCATTCTCATGCCACCGCTGTGTACACAGATGGCTCTAAGTCTTCAGACGGCGTCGGATTCGCAGCAGTGTTTCCGGACAGCGTCATGCAGGGGCATTTACTATCTTCAGCTAGCATTTTTACTGCTGAACTGTATGCCATTCTTGCAGCACTTATTCGTATCGCATCTATGCCTGTGTCATCATTTGTAGTAGTCTCAGACTCCCTTAGTGCTCTACAGGCTATACGAAAATTTGATACATCTCATCCCCTAGTTCTCCGTATCCAACTTTGGCTACGCCGTATCTCTACCAAACATAAAGATATTGTTTTTTGTTGGGTCCCTGGTCATGTCGACGTACAGGGCAATGAACAGGCAGACACTGCTGAGCGGTCAGCAGTATATGACCTACCAATTTCCTATCGAGGTGTTCCATTTCTGGACTATTTTGCTGCAATAACTACCCACCTTCGCACCCGTTGGCAACAACGTTGGTCAACTCTGCTCGGTAACAAACTTCATTCTATTAAACCGAGCATAGGTTACTGGCCGTCTTCTTGTCATCAGTGCCGAGGTTGGGAGACCACTCTCTCCCGCCTTCGCATTGGGCACACTCGTCTTACTCATGGGTATCTCATGGAGAGGCACCCTGTTCCTCTCTGTGAGCAGTGTCAAGTTCCAGTATCGATTAGCCACATTCTGTTAGACTGCCCTCTCTATCAACGAGCACGCAGAATTTACCTGCAACGTCGTCTTCGTTATACTACTCTCTCTTTACCTTCCCTTCTTGCTGATGGACCCTCCTTTAATCCTGACTCTCTCATTGACTTCTTGACAACGACTGATTTACTCCACAAACTCTGATGATACTTTTTGCACTCCCCTCAGCCCTTTCTAGTTCAGTCTCTTGCTGCCCTTTACCCTTTCACCATCCACTACCCCGCTGTTATCCGTAACCTATTACTCATCCATCTCCCTTTTGCCACCTGATGCCCTTGCTTCCTTCCTGCCCTGCAGCGCTGTATAGTCCTTGTGGCTTAGCGCTTCTTTTTGATTATAATAATAATAATGTGTATCGTTCCAGTCACGGTATTGTGCCTTTTTTTGTTATTTAAGGGCATTAATTCAAGGAAATGGAGCTACCCTTCTATATCTTGGATCAAACTAGATTAACTCTTATTTTTAAGGTGATATATTGCCAAAAAAAAAGTTTAGTAATAAAGACTGGTGTAAGTAAAAAACAATTAAAAAAAAAGTTAAGACTAGTGCCTATATATATGAATGAGAATAATGAAGCTTGTACATGGTAAATATAGCTTTGGGGGGGACGAATTGCTTTATCTATGCAGTAGATACAGTTGACTTCCTTGAATTCTTTGGGGTTAAGGACCTGGAGGTGATGTGAATCCTGAAGCTGAGTTACTTAAATGTTTTTAGCCATATCTCTTTAACTACTGCTTTATACTATTTAATACTGACATCCATAAAAAAGAATGTGCAGTTTATATAAAATTGTAAAGGTTATTTTTCAATTTATGGGTTGTGTTCAAAGAAAAAAATGGATGCCATGAAAAAAAATGAAAATAAATGAACTTATCCACAAAATGGCCTTCAGCAAAAATGTAGTCTAGCTGAATCATGTGGGTTACAGAGCATGTGAATTTCAACGTTTGGCTGTACAGTAAATTTTCGCCTAGGAGTAGGTGCGAAGAGCACCATAGTCGTGGAGATTCAGAATCTCCACGACTATGACCCCTCAGGGAAGGTTCCTTGATGTTGGTGAGGGGCTCTTGATTTAGGGAATTGGATCTGTTCTCCAGTTCCCCAAATTAAGCCTGAATGCCTTCCACATCCCCCCCCCAGGCGCTGTATAATCCTCCGGGTTTAGCGCTTCCCCCTTGATTATAATAATAATAATAATCCACGACTATGGTGCTCTTCGCACCTACTCCTAGGCTGAGGGACTGATTACCTCATCTTCTGTACATAGTTCTACAGTAAATTTTCCTGTGAAGCTAACTTTGTTTTTCACAGTAATTACTGTACATTATGAACACTAAATTCTTGACAGTTTTTCCACTCTAAACCCCTTGAACCCTTGTACTTACATCATAACCAAGATCAACTGCACGCCTAATCCCATCACAAGCCATTGCCACCGAATCAATGACCCCAAGAGTTGGCTTGGTAATCAGACCCATAATTCCTCGGCCAAGGCCTTTAAAAAAGCCTTCGACTCCATCTTGTTGAGCACCTGAGAAATATGGGTAAATATGTAATGTACAATTAACTTAATTAAAAGTACCTTGAATTTTTGTACTGTATTTGTTACAGAATTAAGAGTTATAAGCCAAGTACTGAAAATATTAGGAAAACATTCAAGATTATCTATACCTTATATTAAAATAATTTTATTATCACTAAGATTTTTAACACCAGGTTTTAACACAAGAAAGATAAAAACAAAATAAAGTTGATGTTTAACATAATAAAGTATGTGAGTTTCAAAATAGTAAATGTTGTTTATGTTCTTCAGTATTACACCATCTACTGACCTCATTCAAACCTGAATTTAGTCTTTGATTAGAGTGCCAGCTTCAGGAGCAGTAATTTCTTACATTTTTTAATTCCAGTGGCCATTTGTGACCAAAGTAAGCTGACCCAAGAAATAAAAACTCATTCACCATCACTCATTACTAGATGTCTTGCCAGAAGTGCATGGATATCACATAACAGCATCCCCCTTTTTTTTGTTTCACAATACAAAGGGATGCTGTGAATGAGTGGAAGTGAAGGTCTACTCTCTGCCTTACAATTTCTTTTTGTTCTACTCTTCAACTGGTTTAAGATTAATATTATTGAAAACTTGAATGACCTTTGTACTTAATGGTCAGCTAGTGACTTCACAATTATTAATAAGATACAATACTTCAGAAAATTATATAATTTCAGAAAATTTCTAAATGGGGAATCTGATTCAGCCTCTAAGGATTCTTATTGAATGCAAAGATGACACATTAAAAACTTTCTCTAATATGCACTCTTCTCAAATTAAAAATTCTGCCTATTTTTCAAAATGCAGATGCTGTGGCAATAACAGTAACTGCTATAACTTAGTTATTTATTCTTAGTCATTATAAACAACATTAAATTTTACAAAGAAGGCATTATTTCAAAATGCAATAATCATACATAAAAAGCACTTCACATGCAAAAAGAGCAAAAGGCATAGAAAAGCAATAGTCTAAAAAATCATTATGGTAGTCATACAAAAAACACCAGTATAAATAAAAACACATCGTATAAAAGTTAAATCTTATAAAAATCTTGAAACAAAATTAGTTTCATTAAATACCTTAGCTTTACAAAGACACATCTCATCAAAAATCTTGACCTCAAAAAAGTCTTGTTAAAAATCTCAGCCTCTCAAAAGCATCTTGCTAATAACCTTCACCTCAAAAGCTAAAAACTCATTAAAAACCTTAGTCGCTAAAAACATTTATCATTAAAAACCTTAGACTCACAAGAAAACTTGCCTCATTAAACTTAAGCATCAAAAGAAGTCTCGTTGAAAATCTTAGCCTTGCAAATACAACATTGCTCTTACAATAAATCTTAATCTTAAAAGAAAAGCAGCAGTACAAAATACGTCCTTATAAAAATATCCTATGAAAAAGCTGGAAATTCATAACCCACAAACCACAGTCTATAAACTGCTCCATCTCCAAGGCCATAGAATAGTAAAAAATTTGATGCATTTTACAATCTATATTTTAAAATTTGTTGTATGTCAAAAGCCACAAGTCATTCAAATTTCCTGGGGAAAAGGTGGAGAGAAGGGAGGTCTTGGGATGGGATACAATATTCAGGACTGATCCAAGGAAAAGCACTGGCAAAATTAGATTGGACCCCTCGGATAAAGAGCTCTAAATTTTTAAGATCACATACAAATATAGCAAGTACCTATATCACTCAAAAGAGCAAACCTCTCTAAATTTTCTGATAAGATACACAATAACACTTATCCACAAAGGTGGTGGCAAAAATAATTTGAATAACTTCATACCATTAGAAAAATATATGAGAAAGTACCTGTAATAGACAAGCAACTGTACATGTACCTAACCAAACATAATATGTATACGTGCCAATCTGCAGTCAGACCTACAACAAAAAACTACTAATGATGCAATGATATAAATGCTTGACAGTTCATGAAGCACTTCAAGGTAACAAGTATACCACTGAACTTTTTTAATGATCTGCATAAGGTTTTTGACACTACTGAACACAATATTCTTAAGTTAAATCACTATGGATTCAAGAGGGCATACATACAACTACTTTCAAGCATGCCTTGGTAACAGATAACAGGTGTGAAGTCGTAAATGACACTTCAACTAACCCACCAATTTATTTAGGTGTCCCTCAAAGGTAAATCCTGTTCCCTCTTCCTTTCCTCCTATACCAATGCCCTATTGAATACTGAATGGCACCCAACATCTAAAACCTGTACTCTGCTGATGATAACCTCTATCTTATCGGGCCATGATCCTGACATTAAACACCATACTTAATGATCGACTTAAAAGCATTTACACCTGGATGGCAACCAATAAACTCACCCTTAATGTAGAAAATAAGCCTTCATAAGTTTTCCTTGTTATTACAGAAATGAAACCTCTATCTTATCGGGCCATGATCCTGACATTAAACACCATACTTAATGATCAACTTAAAAGCATTTACACCTGGATGGCAACCAATAAACTCGCCCTTAATGTAGAAAATAAGCCTTCATAAGTTTTCCTTGTTATTACAGAAATGACTATATAGTACTTCAAGACTGCTAACACCTTCAACAAAGACTATACGTACTGTACTTTATACTCCTACTGATGTATGGTGATGACAATTAACTAAATGTACAACACATTAGTGATTAGATATCATGGTACCTCACAACTAACCCACAATCTGGAGGGGAAAACTGTTCCAGTACACAGTAATGTGACAGACTCTTCACGTCATTTGTTAACACAGCCTCTGAGGCTGACAGTAGTGGGGGAACAATTATCCAGAATAATCACTAGTCCAGACATTCTGGATTTTTTTTAACACGGCTGTTTCCCACCAAGGGAGGGTGACCCGAAAAAGAAACACTTTCATCATCTGTCTTGCCAGAGGGGCACTAATACCACAGTTTAAAACTGTAATATTCCTGTCCATCATTCTGATTATGTACTGATATTATTTCATAGTTTACTCACCATAATATTGCATAGTCCTTTTTATTCTTACACTATATAATGATTTTTAATATATTAAATATTTATTTCCTAACAGGCTAGATTATGAGCATAACTACTTTAGATAAAATCGTGGTAGAAATGCCCTCTGAAGGAGGGGTTGTTAATGTTGCAGTTTTATAACTGTAGTGTAAGCATGCCTCTGGCAAGACAGTGATGGAGTGAATGATGATGAAAGTTTTTCTTTTTCAGGCCACCCTGCCTTGGTGGGAAATGGCTGATGTGTTAATAAAAAAATAAATAATATAAACAATGTGCTAAAAGTATGTGAGAAATAAAAATTAAGCATTATTATGAGGAACATGAATAAATATTTTTATACATCATAATGCTCTTAATATAATCTATCAGTACAGAATAATCTGAGCATTGTGACTTTCCACTCTTGCGTGATGAATTTCTGATACAATATTACACTCACTCTGGCATTGCAGTATTTATTTTTTTTTAATTTTTGTATTATATAACATTTTACATCTGCATTGTTACAGAAACCCATGAGTGAGAATTTTTACTACTGAATTAATGCACATTATGATAGTGTTCGTAATGATTTGCTAAAGACAGTGAAAGTGAAATTACTTTCACTAAACTGAAATATTTTAAAATTATGCATATACATACTACCAAATAAAACATTACTGTACTGTGCATATATTGCCAAATAAAACATTATTGTGGTATTGAATTTTATTGTGTTTGCATTTGAAGAATATTTTATTATGTGTTCAGTGACAATAGGCTGATATTCCTGTTTATTCGGTCTCTGTCCAGATTTGAAACAAGTCAGTTTCTGATTATGTACTTTTATTAATCCATGCAAAAAACAGACATAATGAATAAGAACATAACATTAAAAAAAAGCTCTGAGGTCAGGCAAAAGTGAGAGGTGGTAGTGGTATGGGTTACCTGAAACTAGATATCCATCAGCACGTTCACCGGCACCACCAACATTGGCGCCACACCACCACATTCAGGGATAGAGGAAGAAAATATAGACTGAATACGTACCTTATGGTACAGTTATAAGCTTTGAGGCAAGACATGAGGGTAAGGGGGAGGAAGCATACATCCACCAATTCAAATGAATTCTAAGGTTTTTAACAAAAATATGTTTATTTTCTAGGGGTTATGGGATTTTTGTTGTAAAGGAACAGTATAAGCTAAATGCACTGAAATGAAAAAATTCATACTAATGGCACATTATACAAGAATTACCTGAGATTTGTATAACCCAAATTTATGCAATACCAGTACTGTAGTTTACTTCCTATATTTTTGGGGGGCTGGAGATTTAATACATGTTTAGACATGAAATTCATAAAAAAAATCTAGAAAGAGTATGTTGTGTTTACAATAATTATAAATCATCATGAAAAATATATACACTAAAGTCAATTCTAAGGCAAAAACTATCTCAAACTCCCATCAAAAACAAATGAAAGATACTTGCGAGCAATTAATGTTAATCCGTGGGCTAGACATAAAAATAAAAATGATATAAGAAAAATGAGAACTTTTTAGAGTACCACACTGAGTGTGTGGCAAATAAAGTCTTTTGTAATGTGATAATAAAGAAATGAAATAATAATGAGAAAGGGGAGCGAGTTGTGCTTGACTACTGAGAAACAATCCTGATTATGAGATACATGTATACAAATTACCAACCAATCCACGCACATTCCAAAAAATTTTAAGAATACTATAGTATTCTTAAAATACTAGAATATTATAGTTCAAAAGGCCATTTGAATTGTTATGTCAGCACAAACCTGAATGCAGTATGATATGTCAGGAAAGTGCTTCACAAAGCAGACAGGAATCAGTCACAGAAAGTAAAATATAAGGATGAGAAGATGGCCCCACACAATTCCTGACACACAACATGAACTACCTCCCTGGTAGAAGGTGAAACTAATTATAAAAGTAAATATGGAATAAGATATGGATAAGCCACAGGAATCGTCCAGTAAGTAGTTACTTGAATTCAACTTTAATAAATACTGGTACAAGGTGATAAGGATAGGGTAGGGAAGTGAAGGAAGAAGAAAGAAAAAGGCCAATAATAGCTTATTACCTAAGGAGAAAGTAGTTGCCAGTGTGAGATAACAAAAACACGAACCAGGCATGGCACAATATGGACCTTATCAAAGGAAGCTTAAATGAACAAGATATCAGCAGCATTTATTATGTTGGCAAATATAAGAACAGTTTTTCAGGAATCCTAAAACTAGTCTGGTTGAAATGTACCACATGCTAGTGGCTTTTTTTTTTTGTGCCTAAACAATATTTCATTACATATAAAAATACGTTGTTGTATACTGCACAAAAGAAATAAATTTGTAATTGTAGTATTTGTATAATCTCAACAGGGATTCCTTCAGGATGTTATGCAACACACATAAGACTAACATTGATGTATGTAGCATCAGCTTGGAAACCACATCTTAAAACAAATGAAAGTATAGAGTGATAATTAAAAAAATATTATTGTGCAAAAATCATTTATATAAATTATTTATGATGGTGAATTAAAAACTGTGTGTGTTTAAGAAACAAAATAAAAAATAAATAATTGTTTTACCTTTATTTACAGGTATTTAAAACTGAAAATTACATGCATTTACAAGTTACACACAAAAGTTACATCAAAATAAAAACTCTGAATAATTGTAAAGCTTTATAAGACTTCAAAGAGTGAACTGATGAATAAAAAAAATTGCATTTTTATTTTGAGAAAGGACACATTATGGCAATCCAGGAAAGTGCACTCAGGTTCCATGAAAAACAAATAATGTGATAAAATCTTAAAAACATCTGATAGAGAGAAGGATTTTGAAATGATAAAAATTAATACAGAATCATATGCACTAGTTGCTAACTAAAGAAATGTTAGGTAAAAGGACACATATGCAATCAATGTGACCTTTTACTGTGGCAACGTTTCGCTCTTCAGAAGCAAAACGTTGCCACAATGAATTCTCACATTAGTTGTATCTGTCCTTTTAATTAACATTTTATTGGTAATTCTACCATTATTCCTAACTCTTAAGAAAGCTTTCACATACAGTGGTGCCTCGAATTTCGAACAGTTTCCAATTCAAACAATTATGTAAGTGTATTTTTGTAAGTGCTTTTGTAAGTGTATTTCTGGGGGTCTGAAACGGACTAATCTAATTTACATTATTCCTTATAGGAACAAATTTGTTCGGTAACAGCACTCGAACAACTTTCTGGAACGAATTTTGGCCGAAATTCAAGGTACCACTGTATATGGATAGAGATGCGTGGAGGAATTACCATAAAGTATTAACAACGCATCTTGAGCTTACACAGGAGTATGCAACCATCTTTCATGGCCAACAGTTATAGAAAAATAAACCATGTTATGCACAAACTAGAATGTGCAGCTGAGGTTTACAACTAACAGGTATAGAAACATTAACAAAACAAAAAAGTTTAAAGATATGCAAGAAAATAGATTACAGAATTAACAAATTTGAGATATGAAAAAACTGGAAAAATGCCAGCATTTGTCTTCACTGGAAAGATAGAAGAGATATGATAACCACCTATAAGTTCATGAGTGGCAATGAGAAATCAGAGAATAGTTTTGGAACTACCAAGAGAAGAAGCAAATGAAGACAATCTTAAATTGTGAAAAAAGCAGCTTTTTTATAAAAAGAATGGAGAAATTTGATAATCTGCATATTAATGGATGGGACTCTAATTTTTGTACACTGAATGGGACTAGAGAATATCATCTCCATTTTGGCACTTCTATTTTGAAGGTGGTTCTTATTCATTGTATCACTTTTCAGGCAGGTGTGGTAGTACTGTAGCACTACTGTGTTCTTTCAAAGTAACGTCTTCCAACACGAATATTGTCAATATTATAGGTTCTAGCCATCTAAAAAGATTAAGTAAAGCTGCATTTTTGCACATGGTTAAATCTTAACAAATTAAAACACACAAAAAGCCTCCTAAAGTCCCATGTGAGATTCGTCTGCCATTTTGAAAATCCAAGAGAGGAAATGTTACAAACTTATCTTCATGAAAATTTGGCTTAATCTTTTCCTAATATAATGTTTCAATGCTAATGGTAAAGCCACCACACTCACTTTACTTGACAGAATGCTAGAGAGTACTGAAAGTTCTTCAAGAACCTAACCTAAAAAGCTCTCTACAACGCAATGGATACAGATGCAAATACACTATAATGCAAGCATTTATTGATGTTTCACCCACACAGTGAGCTTTGTCAAGTCACAAACAGATCTACCTAGGGAGAGAGGATGTGTGCATATACATATGCACATAGTGATGTGAAGAATCATGTCACGATGACTCATCTGACTCTTCATAGCGCTATGTTTATTATATACGTACACACACACACACACACACATATATATACATTATATATATGTTTATCCACTCTCTCTTGTTTGTGACTTTATAGAGCCCATTGTGTTGGTATTTTATACCAGTTCTTTCTACAACACTGTACATAAAACTGAATTTAAGAACTCTGAAAGGAACTGCAAAAAACTACAAATGTCAAAATCTTGAGGATACATAATTATGAAGACACTGTAATGATCGAACAGAACATTTGACTCTCCAGTGATATGTCAAGTCTTTAAATTAATAATAAAAGTTTATCAGTGACCATGATGATGATAATTCTGTACAGTAATTATTATGTTTGTCATAAAGGAGTCTCAAGGAATCCTTATAATCATGACAAAACATTTTTCCTATCGGTATAAATGTTATGTTTTAAGCATATGATCTACATGACAAAATTATGCTAAATTTAGTCATGTTACTTGTTACTTAGTACTCCAGCAAACTGGGGTAAATTTAGTCATGTTACTTGTTACTTAGTACTCCAGCAAACTGGGGCTATGTTTCTCAGATAATTATAATGTCCTGAAAGTCGCCAAGAAATAATAAGTTAAATTTCCTTAAAGTGCTGCAAGCAAGAGGGCAAGCGAAGGTAATAGATGCTATTTCAATTGTCTATTAGAGAAATGTAAGTGTCTGTTTTTCTAGTACATAATACTAATACCTACATCAAAATTATAAATAACTGGCATGCATGGCACAGATTTAATAGTTTGAAAGTAATATCAGTACAGTATACTGTGTATTAGAGCAATATAAGTGACTGATCTCCAAGAAAAAGCCTGACTGCTAGAGGATAGTTTACATCACATGGTTAACAGAGGACTGAGCCTCCATTACTCTCTTGAATGACTTACACAGGTTTATCATTTCAAATGAACAAAACTGACTTCAAATACTGGAATATTTTGACCAAGAATGCAAATGAATTTTACTTCCAAAAAGTACACAACTGTTACAAAATTATGTGAAATTTATTTTATACATTTCTTAAAGCCCCCAGTTATACAGCATTTATAGTTTCTTTTGTGGCCTATATTTGATTTTAAAGGACAATGTTTACTGTAGAAACTTTGAATTTTCTGTAAGAACACACGAACATGTTAATTAATGTCTTGACTACTGTTAAATTCTCTCTCTGCCAGTCAGTGCTACTGACTGCCATGATAAAAATTTCACTTATGCTTCATTATTGAGCCTGAATGAAATTGGATTAGCTTCAATGTTAATTCTGTTATGCTGATGACCAGGAGGTGGGGTAATGATCAGTTGTATTGTTAGTGATAATGCCAGCATTATATATATCCAAACAGATAAATATAAGTTTGGTTATTGATGGTAGTATTAATAACCAATTCTATATCCTGTTTAAAAAAAATTGATACTTGTGGGTTTTTTGATTAAATGAGGTTAATGTTAAATTTTTGCACAATTATTAGGTGATATCTATTTAGTTTACTGTTTATGGTTACGTTTTCAAGATTACCACCAAAGTTGGCTATGTTTTTATGTGATCTGTAGACAGCCTCTACTGTGATTGGGAACTTTTCAAGTTTTCTGGTTGTAAATCATGAGAATGTGTTTCCCAGGTTTATCATTTGTACACATGAAGATAATACATCTCATCTTATTACTGAAGTAAATTTTAATTTCACCTCCCTTTTGAGTAGGTCTGCAATTATGTTTGGCTGTGTAGCCAGATATATTATAATTGCCTATGGTATCATATTTTAGCCAGGTTTCTGTAAGAGTATAAAAGATAGGTTTCCAAATGAGTTTCAGAGATAAATGGTAAAGGTAAATATTAAGCACTATCAAGAGACAGAAGAGGTCTTCCATTCAGCAGTTGAAGCAAGGTCAGATTTTGCCATATAAATTTAGCATGAAATTTAATCAACAAATTCTTCATTAAATACTGTACCCATACACTCTAACTGTACCTTTAAATAATTAGATTTGTTTCAGTAACAAACTATGTAACTAATTCCCTGCCTAGAAAATAAGAAAGCTCCATCAGTATATAAGAATCAAGAAGTCAGAGTGTGAAGATACAAAGAAGTACATTAAATCATTTGAGTTTGCAAATGAACATTAACCCTTAAACGGTCCAGACAAATCGACGTTCAAATTCGTATTGCTACAAAAGTAGATCTACTTTTTTTAACATATTTTCATATGTAACAAAAAAAAATGTAGATAAGTTTTTTTCACGCGTTTTCAAATGTAAAACAAAAAAGAAGATCTACATTTTTTTATATACTTTCAGATGTTGAAAAAACGTATATATACGTTTAGACCATTTAGAAGAGGAATTATAGTGAGCTACATTAAACATCCACTCATGTGTCTTCATCTCTGTTAACTTAATTCTTGTAAATCAGTGAGAATGTCTCCTACCTGCAATTGGCTTGACGATCACACCAGATACACCAAGTACGACACCCATAACGAATGTTTGGCCAGCCCGGACAATGGTTAGTGGAAATGAGCTTTGCATTTCTAACCTGTATTCACGTTTCTGTTCAGAAATTTGAAAGAGCAACAATTAGCCAATACCTTAGAGGGAAATTATAAAGAAGGTATATAAGTGCTCTCAATGATAATACTACAAAAAGACAACTTTTGAGGAATTTCTAAATTCTGTATCCTCACCCATGTGTGCTGAGACAGCAGCCAACATGCCTGAGAGTAACAAACTAGTATGTATCTGCAAAAGTTAATCTTTTGGCAAAAAAAAAGTCACTTGATTGCCAAAAAATGTCTTATACTTTACCTTTCTATAATCTTGATCAAACGAGAGCAAAGCAATTGTGTTTCCAAGTGCTGAGGAGATACGATTAAGGCTATCAGCAGTACCTCCCACTACATGCCCCATTAAACTCTGTGCACCACGAGCAATTCCTTCTGCAAATTCGTCAGGTCCATCAATGATTCCCTATAAAAATATAAGAGTAAGAATTTTAACTACATAAATAATATTTATTAACTTAAAATATTTTTCAACATTTTTGTATGTTCCACATGAACTTCTTTTGTACTTCATGAATTTTTTGTAAATTTATTTCATAGAGTGGCTCAGGGAATATATAAATGGTGCATGAATATGTACATATTATAATTACTATTGTGTGTCATACCTATTTATGTATTTAATTTGTATATATCAGTTGAAATAAATCATCCCAAGCCCTGGGGTGGCTTACAGTTATTTTAAACAGGATAAGAATGTAATTTTAATTCATATTTTAGATTCACATCGGTAATGCATTTATTGCAAGAAAATATTTTGAAAAACAAGTGCAATAATTCTGCATGGGAATTAACTGTAATTTGGTTTCAAGTGCATAGTATGTTAGCATTAGAGGCGGGTACTGGAAGCACCGAGACGTGAAAGATAACAGTAGCATCCCCAGTGGGACTCTGTCAGGAATTGGAATGGTGTGTGAATACAGATAAGATGGAGTAAATAACACCTGAATGCACTGACTACTTGTATTAATAACAATGTTACATCTATACTGGATTTACCAAGTCATGTGAAAAGTGAATATGAGTGAAACATCATTAGTAAAGATATTCACTGCATCCAAATATAAACAGGTGGCACCTTAACCATTTTTGCAAATCTGACATACCTGGAGTTACCTTAAATCTCAACTTCAAAATTTTAGTCCTACTGTAGATAAGAGTGAGACACTGCATGTATAATACAGTAGTATACATCTACAAGTCTAATTAATTTTATTGTAACTTAATGAAGTTAGTTTAATATCTTTATTATGCACCCCATACCCCTCCTGTGGGCGGTAGTCAAAAGATTACAAAGGTACATAATGGGTCCAGGAACTGGACCCCAAAGTTATGATAGCTGAACTAGTTACAAAGGTAATGAACTCCAGGTAGATCTGGTCACAATCATGGCAAGTTACAAAGGTAATGAATCAGCCTCACTCCTATACATGGTTACAGTCATGAACAAATTACAAAGTAATGAGCCACTGATATGTCCACACCTGGTCACAATTGTAATGAGTTATAAATACAAATATTAAGTGGGTCATACACCCACACAAGTGTGCGCACACATGCACACACGAGGGCACACTCACAGACATATGCACACGAGCGTACAAATATATGCATACACACACACACACACACACACACACACACACACAACACACACACACACACACACACACACACACACACACACACACATACATACACACACACACACACACACACACACATACACACACACACATGGTAATGCATTATTTACAGCTAGCAAAGTCAGGGTATTTCTCCAGAATGGTCTGTAATATACTACTATGGATAAAATACTTTGAAAATGGACAACTTATGAGAAAACTTTCTTACCAATGCTGGCTGGTATATCAGGTCTTTGACACCTTGTGAGAGGTCACGCAGTCTCTGGTATGGGTTGCCAAGAATATCTAACCCCAATACCAAAACATATACCTAATCAGAAAAACAAATTTATAAGCACAGTGCAATATATATACATGTATAGCCCGGACCATACAGTAATGATAATCACCACAATAAGAGTCTTATTTCTTTAACTGGAATATCTTGGTCATGAAGTTATTTCAATTCAGAGGGTTAATAAAATAATATTACAGATAGAAGTTTGGCACAAAAAATTAAATTAATAAGTTTTAATAAATTTTATTTAATATTCAGTGTATACGTACTTAAATATTTTGTAATTCCATTAAAAAGGGAGATGGGTCAGAGAAATGTTAGAAATCTAATTACTACAAGCATCATATCTAAGGTTGTTTCCACAACGTAAAAAAAAAAATAATGCCTCCCATTGTTGTAATAATACATTATTAAATTTACCACTCCATAACCAATGTCAAGTTTTAAGTAGCCTGTAAGCATTAGGATTAGTCTGCCCAAAATGCTCATGCATACTAGTGGCTTTTATTGTGTTTGACAGTATTTTATTAAATGTAAACTACACACTGTATACTGTACAATGAAATGAAAATTTTTATTTTTATCTGATTCTGATAAATTGATGGTAACAAGGTAGGGGCAAGAAGCCAGAGCTTCATCTCCACAGATACAACTATTGTATTACTATTATAGACACAGGAAAGTGTTAAACCCTCAGGGGTTATATGGCACCTGTGGAAAGAATTAATGGCAAGAAAGTAGACTGCAGAGAAACAAAAGGGTTTTAGGAAAGTTAGGGAAATTATAGGCCAATTAAACCATGAAACAGGTGGGGTTTGAACCCACAGAGAGTGAGTCGTAACACTCCAGGCCACCTGTTCTGTGGTTTGTTTACAATTGTGTTATTATGATTTCATAAGTCATGTAGACCAAGTATTAACATTGAAAAATATATTAAGTGAAAAATACAGTACTTAGAAATAGGTAAGGAATTTTTTGTCGCATTAATGTATTTAGAAAAGGTATATGATAGGGTAGATAGGGGAAAAAAGTGGCAGGTATTGCAAATGTTTGGAACAGGTGGTAGGATACTAAAAGCACTAAAGAGTGTTTATGAATTTAGAAGTAGATATGACAGTTCCAGTCAAGTGAATGATAAGAGGTGAAACCAGAACCTGGAGTTCAACTTCTGTAGGCACAGTTAAATACGGTGCTAACATTCATAACTTTCAACAGTGTCACATTTACAAGTTAATAAGTGTATGGTATTATAATTATCAATATTCATTGGAAATATTTGTAAATGAAAATAGACCATTACACTTACAATTTAATATGGATAATTTACAACTACTCCATGGGGAAGTGGAACAGAATTCTTCCTCCGTAAGCTATGCGTGTTGTAAGAGGCAACTAAAATGCCGGGAGCAATGGGCTAGTAACCCCTTCTCCTGTATATATTACTAAATTTAAAATGAGAAACTTCTGTTTTTCTTTTTGGGCCACCCTGCCTCAGTGGGATACGGCCGGTGTGTTGAAAGAAAGAAAGAATTTACAACTAGACCAATTTGTAATAGCTGAAATATAGTAAAATACAATACACTAATTATAAAAAGGCATAATAAAATATTATATTTATTACAGACAGGCACAGTAATTATTATTTATTATCACACTGGCCGATTCCCACCAAGGCAGGGTGGCCCGAAAAAGAAAAACTTTCACCATCATTCACTCCATCACTGTCTTGCCAGAAGGGTGCTTTACACTACAGTTTTTAAACTGCAACATTAACACCCCTCCTTCAGAGTGCAGGCAGTAATATGGTAACTTATAACTAGGGTTACTTCAATATTCTTTGAGACACTGAATGAGCAGTTCTGCCAGGGTTATGGTAGCAATATCTATAGTGTGGTACATTAACAATGCCTTAAAAATAAAGCAAGTGTAGAGCATGCAGAAATAAATGAGATAACACACTAATTATCCTTAGCTATGCTAGAAATCAATCACCAGTGAAGCACACTGAAAGAGTGAAGACAAAACTTTCAAGACTGCCAGGAATCTTGTGATGGTTCTCTCGCATGATGAGAAGGAGCCTAATATTTTTTAACAATGAGAGGGAATGTCAGATCCTGTTGTGATAGTCACAGGTTATTCAAGAAATGAATGTGCAGAGTGAATTTACAGGTTTTCCCTGAGCTATGAATAATAATATTTACAAAGAAGGGCCTTCAGCTCAACTAAACTTTGAGGTTATACACTACTGACTTCTGAATTAAATTGTCTTCTCTTGCTACAGATGTCAGCTGGACAGATGTACACAATCTCCACAACAGTGATTATTTCCTGATTTTAGCACCTCCTACCCCTACACCCATCTCCATTGCTGCTCTTGGTGGCAAACTGAGGATGCAGATGAGGAACCTTACAACACTTAGACCTTTCAGCACTTGTTTTCCTCTTACACTTCTTCAATCAGATCTGGTTTAAAGGAAGTTTACCTCTTTACTGAAAGACTGCAGTAGTCCTCTTTATTTGAAAATCCAGTGCATCAGGGTGTGACCTGTCTCATTGCAGCTCAATTTCCAATAAAATATGTGGCACTGTATTTGAAGACCAGGAATTATCTGTTTACCTAACAGTCTGGCTATACGTAAGTAGTTTCACACCAACGTTTGGAGATCAATATCTTCATAATGCCTATGCTGAATATTAACCAGTTACAGTCTTTTTTTTCAGCTTACAGAAACTTTGTGATATTGACAAATGACATTATATCTTATCCCAAGCTCATGTTTTGGGGGGGTTCAAGGCCTATTACCACTTTGCATAAAGATGTTTTTGATGAGTCACTGTTGTGTTCAGGTCAATTACAGCTTCTCCTCCAACATCATTCAAGAGAAAAAGAGTATCGTAAAAAGAGGTGTACTCTACTTAGCACTACTTTGTTTCTAAGTGCCATCAACGGACTCACCTCAGTTCTCCCTCATGGAATTTGGTCTTTCCTATAGTGTGTGCTTAAGCTGGCACAGACAGTCACCTGGTGGCCATCTCACTAATAACAGCTATTGACTCCATTTTCATTTGGGCCACATCACACCACTTCAAGTTTTCTCTGTCCAAAATGAGCTCTATTACTTTCCCGATGCAGTTGTTATGAACAGCCGTGACTTCCCACATGAAGAAGCAACTGAAAATTGTATAAAAACTGTGTGCAATATGGCTAACGAGAAACTTAAATACCAAATAAATACTCTATATGGTAAATAAAAGCAGCTTACAGAAGAGGCAAACCACAGAAGATGCCAATTAGCCAATGAAACTCAAATTTTTCAACAACACAATAACAAAGACTTCATCAAGGCAGCTGTTACATAAGAAAGTTATATATATGTGTAAATGAGTGCCTCACAAAGTGCTATACTGTACAAGCTATGACAATCATATAAACAAAATATTAAATCAACAACTGTTATATTAAAGATGGTAAAATAATCACAAGAGCAAACAACAAAAAATCAGCCATTGTTATACAGGTTGGCCATCACTAATCCAGCATCATTGGGACCTGTAGTGTGCCGGATTAGTGAGTTTGCTGGATTACAGAGTGGTTAGGTTAGAATACACTTAATTAACCTATCAATAGAGACACTTTCTACTACATCTTCCTCATTTTCATCACTGCTTTCTCCTCCACTGGCTTGCTGCTGTGGATTTACAACCATCTGCACAATTTCTGAGTCAGTATAATGATGAAATTGGAATTAGTATAATGACTTCAGTCAGTATAATGATGAAATTTGAAATTATGCTAGCCAAAATTAGTGCCAGATTACTGATGGAACTGGATAACCGAATGCCGGATTAGTGATGGCCGACCTGTATTATAAATGGCAAAGTAATGGTAAAAAGTGTCAATAGTACTGAAGGCAAGAAATCACTAGTGAGAGTGAACTAAAATTCTTTACTACTGATAGTAATCTAAGCTACTAAATAATTTAATGAATAATTCACTCCCACATTCAATCTTCCATACAACGTGCCTATTGAATTCACCACCCTGTAGATTGTGTTAGCGTGACCAAGTAGAACTGCGCTTATTCTTTAATGTCTCAACAACATTACAGCAACCTTAGAAATAAGTATTTTGCTATACGGTAAACCCTTGATATAACCAATTCTGGAAGTGTGTGACAAAATCTTCTGGCTCACTCAATTTACAAACAACGAATAAAGTCTGCTGGTTACAGAATTATCTGTTATTATTATGTTTATGACAAAACAATATCATCTCTATCGCCCACAATCACCATTACTGGCCATCTACTTCCTGCTATTAGTCCATTAAATAGAGGGTTTGCTATTGCCATGACTATCATAAAAGTAGCCCTTGTTATAAGTATTTACTAAATTAATTTGCAAGCTAAACAAACTTTTGTGAATCATAATTATTATCACCTGTTCATATACTCCTTAACATAATAGAAATACCATAAAATAAAAAAATAATACTTACAGATTCAAAGAGCACAAGCTATGTACTTTTTTTTTAATGCAGACTTTCTCCAGATGCATTATCTCAGAATTTATGCATGGAAAATACTCAAAAGAACAGGTCTCTAATCTACATAATAAAACTACATGCTCTTGGGAGATTCTGAAGAGAAGTTGCAGAGATTGGTGGATGAATTTGGTAGGGTGTGCAAAAGAAGAAAATTAAAAGTGAATACAGGAAAGAGTAAGGTTATGAGGATAACAAAAATATTAGGTGATGAAAGATTGGATATCAGATTGGAGAGAGAGAGTATGGAGGAGGTGAATGTATTCAGATATTTGGGAGTGTACGTGTCAGTGGATGGGTCTATGAAAGATGAGGTGAATCATAGAATTGATGAGGGGAAAAGGGTGAGTGGTGCACTTAGGAGTCTGTGGAGACAAAGAACTTTGTCCTTGGAGGCAAAGAGGGGAATGTATGAGAGTATAGTTTTACCAACGCTCTTATATGGGTGTGAAGCATGGGTGATGAATGTTGCAGCGAGGAGAAGGCTGGAGGCAGTGGAGATGTCATGTCTGAGGGCAATGTGTGGTGTGAATATAATGCAGAGAATTCGTAGTTTGGAAGTTAGGAGGAGGTGCGGGATTACCAAAACTGTTGTCCAGAGGGCTGAGGAAGGGTTGTTGAGGTGGTTCAGACATGTAGAGAGAATGGAACAAGACAGAATGACTTCAAGAGTGTATCAGTCTGTAGTGGAAGGAAGGCGGGGTAGGGGTCGGCCTAGGAAAGGTTGGAGGGAGGGGGTAAAGGAGGTTTTGTGTGCGAGGGGCTTGGACTTCCAGCAGGCGTGCGTGAGCGTGTTTGATAGGAGTGAATGGAGACGAATGGTTTTTAATACTTGACGTGCTGTTGGAGTGTGAGCAAAGTAACATTTATGAAGGGGTTCAGGGAAACCGGCAGGCTGGACTTGAGTCCTGGAGATGGGAAGTACAGTGCCTGCACTCTGAAGGAGGGGTGTTAATGTTGCAGTTTAAAAACTGTAGTGTAAAGCACCCTTCTGGCAAGACAGTGATGGAGTGAATGATGGTGAAAGTTTTTCTTTTTCGGGCCACCCTGCCTTGGTGGGAATCGGCCAGTGTGTTAATAAAAAAAAAAACTACATGCTAGAATGATAAGAGAAAGGAGGAAGTGTTGAGTGGTGAATAAACCCAATGAAGAGCATGGTGCCACAGACAGTCAGAGAACATTATGGGTGCCACAGATAGTCAGAGAACACTATGGATACCACAGACAGTCAGAGAATACTATGGGTACCACAGACACAGTCAGAGAACACTGTATCAACATCTGAGGTTTACAACTCTGCCAACTTTCTTTTTCAACACATTGGCCGTCTCCCACCGAGGAAGGGTGACCCCAAAAAAGAAACACTTTCACTATCATTCACACATATCACCATTTCTGCAGAGATGCACAGATATGACAGTTCAGGTGTCACTCGAAGCAGCAAATATCTCAAATTCTTTTAAAGTGCAGGCATCGTACTTCCCACCTCCAGGACTCAGGTCCGGCTAACTAGTTTCTCTGAATCCCTTCACAAAATATTCCCCTGCTCACACTCCAACAGCTTCTTTCTTTCAACATATGTTACATAAGAAATATGACTGGAATTAAAATACAGTCGTCACGAGAGACCTACATAAGATCTTGTTGAAAGTGCTTAATCCATCAGGCTGGGATACATTCAAGAGCTTTGTTTATTCACAACAAACCTCTGGCTGAAATGTGCACTGAAAAACAATGGGAAAACATATTTCAATGAATGAAGATACAGCGGTACCCCGAGTTTCAGCCATAATTCGTTACAGAAGGCTGTTCGAGTGCCATTACCGAACGAATTTGTTCCCACAAGGAATAATGTAAATTAGATTAGTCCATTTCAAACCCCCAAAAATACACTTACAATAATACACTTACATAAATGTTCAAGTTGGGAGCTGTACGAAACTCGGGGTACCACTGTACTTACGTTTTCCAGGAATCGAACCCCTTTATTAAATTTCTTGATCTAGTGTTATTGATAATTCTAATTTCACAATAGGTTTTCTTCTTTTTATTTTTAGTAAGCTATACAGGAAAAGAGGTTACTAGCCCACTGCTTCTGGCATTTTAGTTGACTTTTACAAGACTCATGGCTTATGAAGGAAAAATTCTTATTCTATGTCCCCATGGATATGAAAGGCAAAATAATAAGAACAGGAACTATTAATAAAAAATCAAAGAAAACTCTAGGTGAGTGTCTATACATAAACCTGTACATTCATGTGTAGTGTGACCTAAGTGTAAGTAAAAGTAGCAAGATATACCTTGTGTGTTTATGAGACACAAAAAAGACACCAGCCCTCCTATCATCATGTAAAACAAATACGTACAGGTTTCTGTCTTACACTAATTTGGCAGGACAGTAGTACCTTCCTGGGTGGTTGCTGTCTATCATCCTACGTTGAAAGATAGGACTGAATGGAGATGAATGGTTTTTGGGATTTGACGAGGTGCTGGAGTGTGAGCAGGGTAATATTTTGTGTAAAATTACTATACAAAAACAATACTGTACTCTACATGCACTGAATATGAATTACAATAATTACATATTAAACAAAAATTTGTTTTGGCTACACTACATATATTCAACCTATCCTCATTTTACTACATTATTTTCTGTGAAATTTTCAACATCAATTTAATGTTTCATCTAAATTTACAGAGGTTATTTTTTTATTCCTAGTTAGGATGGATTAGGCACATAAAGGCAAATTAAAGGAAAAAAAAAAGTCACAGCACATTCGACGATGATATGACTATATTTAACAAAGAAATGTTTAAATTTGTATAATTACTGCTCATAGTGTGAGAATGGATTGAAATATTACAACATGCTGGTTTATACTATTGACCAAATAGATATGCAAGACATATTACCTGCTGTACTAGTTGATACTTGGCATGGTCTACAAAGTCCACTACCAACTTATCCCATGGTATTGATTGTCTCTCGTAATGTCCAATTCTGATCGAGACGTTCTTCATCTGTTGACAAAATTATGGATCATATTTATTAGTTAAAAAAATAGCCAGTGATCGAATAAATGATAGTGAATGTATTTTCGTCGAGCTGCCCTGCCTTTGTGGGCGATGGCCATGGAGGTAAAACAAAAAATAACCATTTTTGTTGTTAATTGTTAGTTACATTTGCTGAATATAATTTTTTTTTTTCAACAAGTCAGCCATCTCCCACCGAGGCAGGGTGACCCAAAAAGAAAGAAAATCCTCAAAAAGAAAATACTTTCATCATCATTCAACACTTTCACCACACTCACACATTATCACTGCTTTTGCAGAGGTGCTCAGAATACAACAGTTTAGAAGCATATACGTATAAAGATACACAACATATCCCTCCAAACTGCTAATATAAATATAAATATAATATAAATATGTATATTATAAAATATATAACAAAAGGTCTAACTTTAATATTCTCATATTTCCAAATGCACATATTATATTAAAGCAACGGGAAGAATCTGATACAATTCAACACAGTATTTGTAAAATAGTTAGGAATAAAACCTTTGTTAGTTTTGATTTTTCATTCAAAAAGAGAATCTAACAAAAATTACATTAAACCGAAAATATTCTATGTATCAACTAAGAACAGATGCAAGATAAACCTTCTGACTGGTTATTACTCCATGATTACAGGATTATATACTATATGTAAATAGCACCCATATTGCTGGCTATTTAGTGAGTTACAGACAAGCAATATATATAAAAGGAGTAAGCAATGTGGTGAGCTGTGCGATGAGTTGTGTGGTGAGTTGTGTGGCAAGCAGTGTGGTAAGCAATATGATGAGCTGTGTGGTGAGCTGTGTGGTAAGCAGTGTGGTGAGCTGTGTGATGAGCTGTGTGGTAAGCTGTGTGGTGAGCTGTGTGGTGAGCTGTGTGGTGAGCTGTGTGGTAAGCAGTGTGGTGAGCTGTGTGATGAGCTGTGTGGTAAGCAGTGTGGTGAGCTGTGTGATGAGCTGTGTGGTGAGCTGTGTGGTGAGCTGTGTGGTAAGCAGTGTGGTGAGCTGTGTGGTGAGCTGTGTGGTGAGCTGTGTGGTAAGCAGTGCGGTGAGCTGTGTAGTAAGCAGTGTGGTGAGCTGTGTGGTGAGCTGTGTGGTGAGCAGTGTGGTGAGTGGTGTGGTAAGCTGTGGTGAGCTGTGTGGTAAGCTGTGTGGTGAGCTGTGTGGTGAAAAGTGTGATGAGCTGTGAGGTGAGCAGTGTGGTGAGCTGTGTGGTGAGCTGTGTGGTGAGCTGTGTGATGAGCTGTGTGGTGGACATATTGATGAGCTGTGTGATGAAAAGTGTGATGAGCTGTGTGGTGAGCTGTGTGGTGAGCTGTGTGATGAGCTATGTGGTGAGCTGTGTGGTGAGCTGTGTGGTGAGCTGTGTGATGAGCTGTGTGGTGAGCAGTGTGGTGAGCTGTGTGGTGAGTTGTGTGGCAAGCAGTGTGGTAAGCAATATGGTGAGCTGTGTGGTGAGCTGTGGTGAGCTGTGTGGTGAGCTGTGTGATGAGCTGTGTGGTAAGCTGTGTGGTGAGCTGTGTGGTGAGCTGTGTGGTGAGCAGTGTGGTGAGCAGTATGGTGAGCAGTATGGTGAGCTGTGTGGTGAGCTGTGTGGTGAGCAGTGTGGTGAGCTGTGTGATGAGCTGTGTGGTGAGCTGTGTGGTGAGCTGTGTGGTGAGCTGTGTGGTGAGCTGTGTGGTAAGCAGTGTGGTGAGCTGTGTAGTAAGCAGTGTGGTGAGCTGTGTGGTGAGCTGTGTGGTGAGCAGTGTGGTGAGTGGTGTGGTAAGCTGTGGTGAGCTGTGTGGTAAGCTGTGTGGTGAGCTGTGTGGTGAAAAGTGTGATGAGCTGTGAGGTGAGCAGTGTGGTGAGCTGTGTGGTGAGCTGTGTGGTGAGCTGTGTGATGAGCTGTGTGGTGGACATTTTGATGAGCTGTGTGATGAAAAGTGTGATGAGCTGTGTGGTGAGCTGTGTGGTGAGCTGTGTGATGAGCAGTGTGATGAGCTATGTGGTGAGCTGTGTGGAGGAAAGTGTGATGAGCTGTGTGGTGAGCAGTGATGAGCTATGTATTGAGCTGTGTGGTGAGCAGTGATGAGCTATGTATTGAGCTGTGTGGTGAGCAGTGATGAGCTATGTGGTGAGGTGCTGGCAGATGAACATTCAGATATACCAATTTTTGTTTCTTTTATGAAATAAAAGAAAGCCCTTAATAATAATAATAGTAATAATAATATAATAATAATAATAATAATAATAATAATAATAATAATACACCCAAATTCTCTGAATGATACTCACACATCACACTGTTCATTCTTTACTTATAATATGATACTTTTTTTTTTTACCTTAACAGTGAGAGAAAAATAATTATTACTTCATAAGTATTATGCTGCATGGTTATATAAACTGTTATACCATTTTATCTGGCTAAATATTATTAATTTGAAATGACAATTACCACAAATATGAGTGTTCAATATATGAAAAAAAATTACTTACAGTGCTCCCTCTTTCATATATTTTCAACTAATGAAATTTTTTAGGTAATTTACATGTCTAACGTTTTACCTAAAACTAGCTACAATTTAGAACAGAATGCTACCTTTCATTAACCTAAGTTATCTGACTAATGTATAATTTTTTGACCTCAGTAAGTGTTGCTCCAAGTGAGGTCAGGAACCACTCCAAAACATCATTCTGACACCATGATTGCCCAAGACAGTTCCGCGTGGTGAGAAAGAGAAGCGAACCTGCAGCCCAGCAACACACACACGTTCAACATGAGGCCCTTCATCAGTTGTATGTAGATTCTGCCAAATTAAATCTTAAGGACAGTGATATCAATGAAAAATAATAAGAACCAATATTGATAAGAAATTACATCTTTTCTTAATGAAATTGTATCAATAATAGGATCATTTAATGAATACTATAATAATGTATAATAATTTGCATCACAATATACCTTCATTGCAGAAAATGTAATTGGTGTCTTCAGTTTCTTCAACTCTGTGTGAATGCTTCTGGAGTGAAGACTCGGCAGTAAGGGTTCCAGTACATCATACACAGACAGCAGGAAACCCTTGTCTAGCTTTAAGAAAAATTCTTGGGCTACTAGACTAAGGTGCCTGAAATTCACATTAAATTTTGAAATAATACTGAAAATAAATCACATTTTTATTCATATAGCCATATATAATGAAACAGTTGTCTGTCTGTTTATTCTATTTATTCATTACTTAATACCATCAATTTATGGACAATGCCTAAATCTGTTGTTTGTATACCTTTAATGCCCTTATATATTTTTCAACATGCTGGCTGTCTCCCACTGAGGTAGGGTGACCCAAGAAAGAAACACTTTCACCATATATGTAAACATATAATATAAACATACAATAATTTAAGCCATTGCATTCTTAAGCTAGGATTAGCATTGCCCGAAATGTTCTGCATAACTATGGGCTTTCTGAATGTACAACCAAATGTCATCCATCTCTCTTCAGACATTGTATTGTGAGGAAATAAATCTTTGACCTTTTTGACTTTGATATAATATTCCTACTAGGCTCTGGGAGTAGAAAAACTCTTGGAACTCATCAAAAGACTTGACAGGCAGTGCAACATCCCCCCCAGTGAAAAGCAGGGGAGACACGAGTACGCTAAGGGACATCAACTTTCAACCTTTCCTCAGTTATAGCTATTGTTGAAATTTTTAAGCTGTTCGAATATGGCATTTAGAAGTTAAAAATGAAAGCCTTGAAATTGCTTGTTCTCTCTAGGCTGGAATATTGCTGTACATGAACAGCCCCTTTCAAGGCAGGCGAAACTGCTGGCCTGGAGAGTATACAGAGAACTTTCACTGCACGTACAAGTACAGTAAAGCATCTAAATTACTGGGAATGGTTGAAGTCTCTTGATCTTGTACTCCTTGGAATGCAGGCAAGAAAGATACATAATAATATACACTTGTAAAATCCAAGGACTAGTCCCAAATCTGTACATGGAAATCACTCCCTATGAAAGCAAGACTCAGCAGGAGATGCAACATCCTCCCAATGACAAGCAGGGGCACCATGAATGCACGAAGAGACAACACAATGAGTGTCAAGGGCCCAAGACTGTTCAATTGCCTCCCAGCATACATAAGGGGAATTACTAATAGATACCTGGTGGTCTTCAAGAGAGAGCTGGACAGGCACCTAAAGTGAGTTCCTCACCAGCTGGGCTGTGGTTTGTATGTCAGTTTGTGTGCGGCCAGCAATAACAGCCTGGTTAATCAGGCCCTGATCCACCATAAGGCTGGGGTGTTGACCCTCAGAATACCCTCCAGGTATATCCCAGGTATTCCTGCTTCTAGTAAGGTAATATACACTAGACAGTGATTAAAAAGAAGCACCATAAAACTGGAAATGAAGAATGGTCAGTATATTTCTACCTTTAACTGAGGACTTCATTTAGAGACCTTAATACACGGCTCTTTTTACATTTCTTATTTCATTTAGAGTGAGTTTTTTCTATTCCCATTCTTTTCCTTGCTTCATGATTTTTCAAATCAATAATGTACAATAGAGTTGTTTCCCTTTTCTCAGAATTTTATTTGTATGTACTATGTTTTCCCTAGCCTATTCATTATAAATAATTGTATAATTATAATAATATCAGTAATAATAATAATGCCATTAATAATAACAATAATTATAATGCCTTTTAATAAAAGCATTAGTCAGAGGGCAGAAGAGGGGTTGTTGAGGTGGTTTGGTCATTTAGAGAGAATGGATCAAAGTAGAATGACATGGAAAGCATATAAATCTATAGGGGAAGGAAAGAGGGGTAGGGGTCATCCTTGAAAGGGTTGGAAAGAGGGGGTAAAGGAGGTTTTGTGGGCGAGGGGCTTGGACTTCCAGCAAGCGTGCATGAGCGTGTTAGATAGGAGTGAATGGAGACGAATGATACTTGGGACCTCACGATCTGTTGGAGTGTGAGCAGGGTAATATCTAGTGAAGGGATTCAGGGAAACCGGTTATTTTCATATAGTCGGACTTGAGTCCTGGAAATGGGAAGTACAATGCCTGCACTTTAAAGGAGGGGTTTGGGATATTGGCAGTTTGGAGGGATATGTTGTGTATCTTTATATGTATATGCTTCTAAACTGTTGTATTCTGAGCACCTCTGCAAAAGCAGTGATAATGTGTGAGTGTGGTGAAAGTGTTGAATGATGAGGAAAGTATTTTCTTTTGGGGGATTTTCTTTCTTTTTTGGGTCACCCTGCCTCGGTGGGAGATGGCCGACTTGTTAAAAAAAAAAAAATATTAATAATAATAATAATTCTCCATGAAGAAGTGAAGAAGAATCCTTCCTCCATAAGCCATGTGTTTTGTAAGTGGCAACTGAAATGCCAGGAGCAAGGGGGTTAATAAATCCTTCTCCTGTATAAATTACTAAATGTATGAAGAAAAAAACTTCTTTTTTTGGGTCACCTTGCCTTGGTGGGAGATGGCCACTGTGTTAAAAAATAATAATAACAATAATAATAATAATTCATTTCCAGAGGGCACATACAGGAGGACCTCACTTCATGGCACCTCGCTTTACAGTGTTTCACCAATTACAGTGGACCCCCGGTTAACGATATTTTTTTCACTCCAGAAGTATGTTCAGGTGCCAGTACTGACCGAATTTGTTCCCATAAGAAATATTGTGAAGTAGATTAGTCCATTTCAGACCCCCAAACATACACGTACAAACGCACTTACATAAATACACTTACATAATTGGTCGCATTCGGAGGTAATCGTTATGCGGGGGTCCACTGTATATGCCAATTACATATACCCATTCTTCATTTATCCAGACCTCCTACAATAAATATATTCACCACTCACTATAAGCTAAGGATGAAAATATTTTCAGGTAAGTAATGTGTATATTGTATATGCATTTTTTAGGCCTAGCTATACTGCTCAATTAATATATAATAGTGAAAATATGTTATCAAGCTTTTATATTAATTTGAAAGTGAAAAAAAGCTATGATTCACTTTACAGTGATTTTTGGTTTATAGCAGAAGCCCAGAACCTGACCTGATGTGTAAGCAGGGGCAGTAGCCCAGAACCTGACCTGATGTATAAGCAGGGGCAGTAGTCTGGAACCTGACCTGATGTATAAGCAGGGGCAGTAGCCCGGAACCTGACCTGATGTATAAGCAGGGGCAGTAGCCCAGAACCTGACCTGATGTATAAGCAGGGGCAGTAGCCCGGAACCTGACCTGATGTATAAGCAGGGGCAGTAGCCCGGAACCTGACCTGATGTATAAGCAGGGGCAGTAGCCCGGAACCTGACCTGATGTATTAGCAGGGCCTGTACGTAGTTTTTACAAAATTCTATAACTTTTAATAATTTATATGTTAAGCCTCTAGTTATGCAGTTCATTTCAGGGAATTCACATTATACAACTGTATTCAGGCTTGTATTTGCATTTAAGTTATTGTATTGAGCAAAATTACAATGCACAAATATATAAAAAATTAAATATTCATGTTTGTGACGAAAAACCGAGCAACATATTTACTGCTATAAAGGCTTGCACACACATTAATATTTTTAGCAGTGATGAGAAAGGAAGACAATGTTAGCCATAAAAATTATAATGTTGCTATGGACGCTAATAAATTCTTATTCTCAATTCTGGGTGGGAAAATTGGGAAAAAAATCATCCATAATGTTCCTGGCCACACCCAGTGGCCGGGAGCAGAGATGTGGCCACAAACCAATTTGTTAAAAAAAAAAAATAGTAGAGGTTAGCTTACTTTATGTATATGAGTGGTATTCATTACTGACAAACAAGTGTCTAATTTGTCAGCTTACTTTATGGTGGTAAGTTGTCCGGCTACACGGTGAAGGAGCACACATGATGATAAACAAGGTTGGATGGTACCATTCTCATTGGATGGGTAGAAGACTGTAGGGAACACTGCATCCAAGAGCTGGTTATCAACCTGAAGGATACATCAAATATATATAAATTATCATGGTAAAAAACTGTGTTGACCAGACAGATTTTACTTCAATAACAAGAGTAAAGATTAGAGGGAGATAAGAACATAAGAACATAAGAAAGGAGGAACACTGCAGCAGGCCTGTTGGCCCATAATAATAATAATATTATTATTATTACAATAAAAAACCAAGCACTCAATGTACAAGGGTCATACAGTCTGTACATAATAACTTTTGGAAGAGACCAAGGGTTTATGTAGAAAGAAATGGTATAAAATACCAACACATTGAAGACAGATGCAGTACGATGCGATCATTTATGGACAATGTTTTCCTCAAGCAGTGAGCTTTATCAACTCACAAACAAATCTGTTTGTGACTTAATAAAGCCCACTGTGTGTGAAACACTGCCAACAAAGGACCAAGGTACGTACATATATTGTATTTGTTTCTTTCTCCAAAGTTTTATGTTTTTTTTTTTTAACAAGTCGGCCGTCTCCCACCGAGGCAGGGTGACCCAAAAAGAAAGAAAATCCCCAAAAAGAAAATACTTTCATCATCATTCAACACTTTCACCTCACTCACACATAATCACTGTTTTTGCAGAGGTGCCCAGAATACAACAGTTTAGAAGCATATACATATAAAGATACGCAACATATCCCTCCAAACTGCCAATATCCTGAACCTTTTCTTTAGAGTGCAGGCATTTACTTCCCATTTCCAGGACTCAAGTCTGGCTATATAAAAATAACCAGTTTCCCTGAATCCCTTCACTAAGTATTACCCTGCTCACACTCCAACAGCTCATCAGGTCCCAAATACCATTTGTCTCCATTCACTCCTATTAAACATGCTCACATACAGCCACTGGATATCCATACTTTATCTAAATTTATCTCTGATTTTCTTAACTACAGTAAATGCAGAAGTAAGGTATAAATGCATTAAAGTTATAAGACAATGATAAATGCAACCAAGCCTTTATTGGTACAACAATTTCTTCCAACATTTATGTGCCTTCAAAAATCACTGCACAAATTTACATTGTTGTGTGTCAAATGATTTGCAAGTTTTTATTCATAACTTATTTTGTTAAGCATTTATAACTAGAAAAATTTTAATTTCATTAAGTCATTCACACATCAAAAATTCTGATATATCTAGAGATAATTCAAAGAACATACAAAAAGGCTACTCCTTGAAAAAAAGTATAAGGACAAGGCTTCAAATATTCATATAGGTAAGAAACAGACAGAAATGTGAATTATGAAACCATGACACAGACTTTCCATTGACACCACATAAAATGCAACTAAACATATGATAAGATATAATATATGTCATGCTGATATTTACTTGAATGCGATGCAGCTGAGCAGAGGCATAAGTGTAATGCTGAGAATGTCTGTAGTGGAGCCACAGTGCTGGCTTTTTTGTTCGCCGCAGCTTTCCACTGAAGGGTCGAGTCATGTACATCTTTGATAAATCTACCTGTATATAAAAAGACAGTGTGAAATTTAAATAATGTCAAAAAATTACCATTTCTTAAATGTATATTTTTTTTTTTACTTGGATAGGATATATTGGTGCAATACATGATTCAACTTAAATGTATACAGTAAACCCTCTCATAACATGGGGATATGTTCCTGAAAATCAGCACCTTATGGAAATTAGTGGGATTTGAAGTAAAGAACTAATGGAAAAAATGGATTACGCTCCCACAATCTTCAAAACTGCCAAACCATCTTTTTAAAATATTCCAAGCATGAATTAATACAGTTTATCTTACCTTACACTCTCATTGTCACTGCTTGTTAACATTGATGTAACTCTACCAGGCTGAGGTGGATAACTGTGATTCTTGTGTTGATATTCATGCAGAGTTACCAATAGTTAATGGTATTCTGGGATTAGGTCAGGGGTTTCAAATAGAGTTAGAGCTAAAGAAGGAGTAGCAATAATGTTGAAGGATAAGCTATGGCAGGAAAAGAGGGACTATAAATGTATTAATTCAAGGATTATGTGGAGTAAAATAAAGATTGGATGTGAAAAGTGGGTTATAATAAGCGTGTATGCACCTGGAGAAGAGAGAAGTGTAGAGGAGAGAGAGAGATTTTGGGAAATGTTGAGTGAATGCGTGGGGAGTTTGGGAAACAAATGTGAGAGTAATGGTGGTTGGGGATTTTAATGCTAAAGTGGGTAAAAATGTTATGGAGGGGTAGTAGGTAAATTTGGGGTGCCAGGGGTAATGTAAATGGGGGGAGCCTTTAATTGAGCTATGTGTAGAAAGAAATTTGGGAATAAGTAATACATATTTTATGAAAAAGGGGGATAAATAAATATACAAGGTATGATGTAGCACGTAATGAAAGTAGTTTATTAGATTAAGTATTGGTGGATAAAAGTTGATGGGTAGGCTCCAGGAAAGTACATGTTTATAGAGGGGCAACTGATATATCGGGTCATTATTTAGTTGTAGCTACAGTTAGAGTAAGAGGTAGATGGGAAAAGAGGAAGGTGGCAAACAACCCGTAAGAGGAAGTGAAATGTTATAACTAAGGGAGGAGGAAAATTCGGGTGAGATATAAGCGACTATTGGCAGAAAGGTGGCTAGTGCAAAGATGAGTATTGGGGGGTTGAAGAGGTTGGAATAGTTTTTAAAAATGCAGTAAAATTTGAATGTGGGCAGAAGTTTGTGGTTTATAGGAGGGTGGGGCAGGAGGAAAAAGGGAGTGATTGGTGGAATGATGAAGAAAGGGTGTGATAAAAGAGAAAAAGGTAGCTTATGAGAGGTTTTTTAAAAAAGCAGAAGTGTTATAAAAAAGAGCAGAGTATATGGAGAGTAAAAGAAAGGTAAAGAGAGTGGTGAGTGAAAAAAGAATGTTTTAAGCGGGGCAGTAGCCCGGGAAAATGACCTGATGTATAAGCAGGGGCAGTAGCCCAAAAACCCTGACCTGATGTTAAGCGGGGGCAGTACCCCGGAAACCCTGCCCTGTGTATAGCAGGGGGCAGTAGTCTAAAACCTGCCCTGATTGTAAGCAGGGGCAGTGTCTGGAACCTGACTGATGTGAAAGAGGGGCAAAAAGTCTGGAACCTGCCCTGATGTATAAGCAGGGGGCAGTAGTCTGGAACCCTGCCCTGATGTATAAGCGGGGCAGTGTCGGGAAACCTGCCCTGATGTGTAAGCAGGGGAGTAGTCTGGAACCGACCTGATGTATAAGCAGGGGAAAGTAGTTTGGAACCTGATGATGATAGCAGGGGCAGTAGTCTGGAACCTGACCTGTGTGTAAGCAGGGGCAGTAGTCTGGAACCTGACTGATGTGTAAGCAGGGGCGTAGCCCGAAACCTAAACCTGATGTATAAGCAGGGGCAGTAGCCCGGAACCCTGACCTGATGAAAAGCAGGGGCAGTACCCCAAAACCTGACCTGAGTATAAGCAGGGGCAGTAGCCAAAAACCTGCCCTGTGTATAAGGGGGGAGTAGCCGGAAAACTGCCCTGAGTAAAAGCAGGGGCTTTACCCCAGAACCTGATGATGTTAGCGGGGGCAGTAGCCCAGAACCTGACCTGATGTATTGCAGGGCCTGTATGTAGTTTTTACAAAAATTCTATAACTTTTAATAATTTATATGTTAAGCCTCTAGTTATGCAGTTCATTTCAGGGAATTCACATTATACAACTGCTTTTCAGGCTTGTATTTGCATTTAATTTAAATTGTATTGAGCAAAATTACAATGCACAAATATATAAAAAATTAAATATTCATGTTTGTAATGAAAAACCGAGCAACATATTTACTGCGATAAAGGCTTGCACACACATTAATATTTTTAGCAGTGATGAGAAAGGAAGACAATGTTAGCCATAAAAATTATAATGTTGCTATGGATGCTAATAAATTCTTATTCTCAATTCTGGGTGGGAAAATTGGGAAAAAAATCATCCATAATGTTCCTGGCCACACCCAGTGGCCGGGAGCAGAGATGTGGCCACAAACCAATTTGTTAAAAAAAAAAAAATAGTAGAGGTTAGCTTACTTTATGTATATGAGTGGTATTCATTACTGACAAACAAGTGTCTAATTTGTCAGCTTACTTTATGGTGGTAAGTTGTCCGGCTACACGGTGAAGGAGCACACATGATGATAAACAAGGTTGGATGGTACCATTCTCATTGGATGGGTAGAAGACTGTAGGGAACACTGCATCCAAGAGCTGGTTATCAACCTGAAGGATACATCAAATATATATAAATTATCATGGTAAAAAACTGTGTTGACCAGACAGATTTTACTTCAATAACAAGAGTAAAGATTGGAGGGAGATGAAAATTAGTTTTAATAATTTTTCTGTACATAATAATAATAATAATATTATTATTATTACAATAAAAAACCAAGCACTCAATGTACAAGGGTCATACAGTCTGTACATAATAACTTTTGGAAGAGACCAAGGGTTTATGTAGAAAGAAATGGTATAAAATACCAACACATTGAAGACAGATGCAGTACGATGCGATCATTTATGGACAATGTTTTCCTCAAGCAGTGAGCTTTATCAACTCACAAACAAATCTGTTTGTGACTTAATAAAGCCCACTGTGTGTGAAACACTGCCAACAAAGGACCAAGGTACGTACATATATTGTATTTATTTCTTTCTCCAAAGTTTTATGTTTTTTTTTTTTAACAAGTCGGCCGTCTCCCACCGAGCAGGGTGACCCAAAAAGAAAGAAAATCCCCAAAAGAAAATACTTTCATCATCATTCAACACTTTCACCTCACTCACACATAATCACTGTTTTTGCAGAGGTGCCCAGAATATAACAGTTTAGAAGCATATACGTATAAAGATGCGCAACATATCCCTCCAAACTGCCAATATCCTGAACCTTTTCTTTAGAGTGCAGGCATTTACTTCCCATTTCCAGGACTCAAGTCTGGCTATATAAAAATAACCGGTTTCCCTGAATCCCTTCACTAAGTATTACCCTGCTCACACTCCAACAGCTCGTCAGGTCCCAAATACCATTTGTCTCCATTCACTCGTATTAAACATGCTCACATACAGCCACTGGATATCCATACTTTATCTAAATTTATCTCTGATTTTCTTAACTACAGTAAATGCAGAAGTAAGGTATAAATGCATTAAAGTTATAAGACAATGCTAAATGCAACCAAGCCTTTATTGGTACAACAATTTCTTCCAACATTTATGTGCCTTCAAAATCACTGCACAAATTTACATTGTTGTGTGTCAAATGATTTGCAAGTTTTTATTCATAACTTATTTTGTTAAGCATTTATAACTAGAAAAATTTTAATTTCATTAAGTCATTCACACATCAAAAATTCTGATATATCTAGAGATAATTCAAAGAACATACAAAAAGGCTACTCCTTGAAAACAGTATAAGGACAAGGCTTCAAATTATTCATATAGGTAAGAAACAGACAGAAATGTGAATTATGAAACCATGACACAGACTTTCCATTGACACCACATAAAATGCAACTAAACATATGATAAGATATAATATATGTCATGCTGATATTTACTTGAATGCGATGCAGCTGAGCAGAGGCATAAGTGTAATGCTGAGAATGTCTGTAGTGGAGCCACAGTGCTGGCTTTTTTGTTCGCCGCAGCTTTCCACTGAAGGGTCGAGTCATGTACATCTTTGATAAATCTACCTGTATATAAAAAGACAGTGTGAAATTTAAATAATGTCAAAAAATTACCATTTCTTAAATGTATATTTTTTTTTTTACTTGGATAGGATATATTGGTGCAATACATGTATTCAACTTAAATTGTATACAGTAAACCCTCTCATAACATGGGGGATATGTTCCTGAAAATCAGCACCGTATGGAAATTAGTGGGATTTGAAGTAAAGAACAAATGGAAAAAATGGATTACGCTCCCACAATCTTCAAAACTGCCAACCCATCTTTTTAAAATATTCCAAGCATGAATTAATACAGTTTATCTTACCTTACACTCTCATTGTCACTGCTTGTTAACATTGATGTAACTCTACCAGGCTGAGGTGGATAACTGTGATTCTTGTGTTGATATTCATGCAGAGTTACCAATAGTTAATGGTATTCTGGAATGAGTCTCTGGTCTTTTTTACCTTGCAATACTTTACTGAGGTGACATTAAGGCATCACTGCTTGCTCCAAACCCTGCTTCAGAACAATGCTTCTAGACATGACAGGGGTCCTTTTCATTAAAAAATCTGCAATTTTATGTAACTGTTGGTTCTCAGTCATCCTCTTCTAACAGTTCATTTACGTCTTCTTCATGTATACCTTCAGGTCTCACAGTCCTTGCTGGTCACAATTTCTTGGACCTAATTCCATTCCAGAAAATTATTCATCCAAGAAGACCATGATTGACCCCAGTCTTCTGCATTTATGGCTGAGTGGGGCACTTCATTCCATGACAATTTTACATCCATAAGTGTATCCACAATATCAAACTAACATCATAACTCTAGCATGCTGGTGTCATAGATGGTATATATTCCTGTAATGAGCTTTTCCATTGCTTTGCACATGCAGTGGTACTTAATAACTCCAGATCCATTAGCCATATAAAAGATGTCATACCAGATGGTAAAACCTTCACATTTGGGTCCACAGACTGCAACATTCGAGGATTTTTTTTTAGTTAATTCATTGGCCATTTCGTACCAAAAATATGACTATGGGAATTACCAAGAGTATGGAGAAATCTGAATACTACAAAGTTCTTTCTGGCCAGTTACATCTTGATCACAGGAATAAAATAATGATTGAATCAATCGAGAAAAAGGGCCTCAGTCATCCATGTTGCTTTATTAGACTGCCAAATAATAGGGGAACAGGTTTTGTCTTGATCTTTTACAGCATGGAGATTCTCTGCATGATAAATTAATATAGGCTTGCACTTTAAATTACCTGTTACATTAACACAGAGAGGCAGCCTGAAATCAGCTGCACTTCTTTTCTTCATTGCCAATATATGTTCTTGATGGCATGTGCTACTGAGATACCCATCTCATGAGCAATAAACACTTACCATGAGATTACTTGGATATAATTTCAGAGTCAATGCCCCCCTCTTTCAGTCTTTTCATCAGATCACAATCTGCACTGCTCATTGCACAAGCTCTTATTTGCTTTTTATTGTCTCAAATTGTATGGATGATGGATTCTTTCTGACCAAAAGTGTGAGCAGTCTGAATCACATCAAACATGCACCACTTCATAGCATACCTAAAATTTCCACTTTCTTCAATATTGTCAAAGCTTTACTCTTATTCTTCTTGGCACCTCCAGCATCACTCGTATGCCTCTTGGGTACTTTGGTTAATTTGCAGAAACTAGACGCGGGTAATGAAAATATACAATGTCATTTGATTAACAGAGTAATGCACACAATGCTTGCAGATGGACTGTGGGTGGCTTGGGTGGCAGTGTCTCTCCAAACACTCAATCCTTAGGTCCAACTTGGCTAGGAGGGGAAAATTTCCACCATGCAGATTACCAAGACTGCATATAACGTGATGTTTCCATGTTTATGGGGGGTACTATCAAGGCTATTTGAGGCCCTACGCAGAAAAGGATGCATTGTTTCAATCACGCTGAGACAAAATAACGTTATGTACTGTCACTTTATAAGAGGGTTTTCTGTGTACAGAAATTGACTAAATTTATCACAATAAAATTTACAAAATATATTAAGAGAAAAATAATCAGTGATAACATTTTCATGCGAGTGAGTACAAGTGCCATTATTTTGTGAAAGAGCAGCAAGTTTTTTAAATACAGTCATTCTCTTAATGTAAATAATTAGAGAAGGTTTTATTGTTTTGTGCTTTATAGGAATCTTTTTTTAAATTTCAATTTTAGGGATGGGAATTAAAATAAAATGAAAATACAACATTTGACATGAGAATATCGTTTTAAAAAAATAATATTAAAATAAACTAAAACCTCTTAATGAACGTTTCAACATGCCTACATATTTAAAATATCTAGATGCGTATTTAAAACATAATTAGAAAAAAAGACTAAACTCTTCTAGAAATTGTAATCCTGAATTAAGTACAGTACTTCCAAATATCAAAAAAAAAAAAAAAACATTTACTGTATGTCCAGGAAAATAGTTTCACTGGTGCACCAAAAACTATCAAAATTTTAATTTTTAATTTTATTCTAAATTAGAATTAAAAATATAAGCAGGAATGTAAAATAGGAAACAGGAAAAGCGTGGTGTTATGTAAATGAAATTCTTTCTTTGATAAAGTGAATATTCAGTCGTAGGCTAAAGTAAATATTTTACGAGTAACAGAGATTTATCAGAGGTTATTGTTGGAATAAAACCTGTTGACTGGGAAAAATAAAGTACAAGTGCTTGCACCAAAACATCCTTTACTTGAACTTATTTTTAAATAGCACAATTGTGGTGTATTATTTTGTGAGTTTGCAATTACTGAAGAACACTTCAGATTCAAGTTTTACAAAGAGTCGAGAACATTGATTTATGTGTTATGAGAGAAATCAGGTGTCACAGCCCAAGGCAAGTTTGAACATTATATACTTATACATTATACAAGTGTAAACAACTAAACTAGAAGAGAAAAAAAAGAATTAGCAGTTTAGAGCAAGAGAAAATATTTTATTTATTTTTTAATTTATTAATCTTTATTAATAATGAAAAAAGCAGAAAGAAAAAGTTTTTAATTAATTAATCATTATTAATAATGAAGAAAGCTGAAAGTAAAATAACATAAAAACTACTTTAATAAAATCCAGACAGTTCGCACTTCACAAGAATCTGTTTGAACGAGCCTGAGACATTTATAAAACAAATTTGTTTTGCGATTGTGATCTAATTTAGCATGTATTATTACACTAATGATATATAATAGCAAAAATCTGATGAATAAGATACATGTATAATGCCTGGCTATCTTCACTTTGGAGACATTTTACTAACTAGCAGATTTTCCAATCCAATAGAGAAAAAATACTAAATTCTTTTTTCTAACACCGACCATCTCCACAGAGGCAGGGTGACCCAAAAAAAAAAAAAAAGAAGAAACAAAAGCTTTTCTTCTTTTTACATTTAGTAATGTATACAGGAGAAGGGGTTACTAGCCCCTTGCTCCCGGCATTTTAGTCTCCTCTTACAACTCACGTGGCTGATGAAGGAAGAATTCTCCACTTTCCCATAGAGAAATACTAGATTATTATTACATTTACAAGAGAAGCACTAAACCCATAGGGGTCATACAGTACCTGAGGAATGGAAGGCAATGAGGCCTAATCCAAGGAAGAGAAGAGATCTCATTTCTTCGATCAAGAGTCCCTCACTGGCATCAAAGAACCTCCCTTGAGGTTAATAAACACTGGGAGATAGCGGTGGAAGAGTAGAGAACTACTTTGAGGTGATCAATTTTTCAGCTTTGATAAGAGGTGCTCAGTACCTCAACTTTGATGAGAGGTGCTCAGTACCTCAACTTTGATGAGAGGTGCTCAGTCCCTCAACTTTGATAAGAGGTGCTCAGTACCTCAACTTTGATGAGAGATGCTCAGTCTCTCTACTTTGATAAGAGGTGCTCAGTCTCTCAACTTTGATAAGAGATGCTCAGTCCCTCAACTTTGATAAGAGGTGCTCAGTCCCTTAACTTTGATAAGAGGTGCTCAGTCTCTCTACTTTGATAAGAGATGCTCAGTCCCTCAACTTTGATAAGAGGTGCTCAGTCCCTCAACTTTGATAAGAGATGCTCAGTCTCTCTACTTTGAAAAGAGGTGCTCAGTCTCTCTACTTTGATAAGAGGTGCTCAGTCTCTCTACTTTGGTAAGAGGTGCTCAGTCTCTCTACTTTGATAAGAGGTGATCAGTCTCTACTTTGATAAGAGGTGCTCAGTCTCTCTACTTTGATAAGAGGTGCTCAGTCTCTCTACTTTGATAAGAGGTGCTCAGTCCCTCAACTGATAGGGATAGGATTTTGTTTGGATTTTTAACCCAGGAGGGTTAGCCACCCAGGATAACCCAAGAAAGTCAGTGTGTCATCGAGGACTGTCTGTCTTATTTCCATTGGGGGTCCTCAATCTTGTCCCCCAGGATGCGACCCACACCAGTTGACTAACACCCAGGTACCTACTTGCTGCTTGGTGAACAGGACAACAGGTGTAAGGAAACACATCAAAATGTTTCTACCCCACCAGGAATCGAACCCGGGACCTCCATGTGTAAAGCAAGAGCTTTGCCAGCCAGGCCACAGGGTCACTGTGCTCAGTCCCTCAGCCTTGATAAAGGTGATATATTAAGATTCATAAAGGTTACTTTTCTCACTATTATTTAACACAACACTTAGCACCTCTTTCTTAATATATAAAACTGGTGTGGATTGCATCCTGGGGGTTGGTAGTATTCCTTAGATAAGACTAGAGCTTTGAAATGAGCTGAGGTAGGAAAACAGCTCTTAGCCTGCAAAACTGAACTTTTTTTTTTTTTTTTTTTTTTTTCAACAAGTCGGTCGTCTCCCACCGAGGCAGGGTGACCCAAAAAAACAAAGAAAATCCCCAAAAAGAAAATACTTTCATCATCATTCAACACTTTCACCACACTCACACATTATCACTGCTTTTGCAGAGGTGCTCAGAATACAACAGTTTAGAAGCATATACGTATAAAGATACACAACATATCCCTCCAAACTGCCAATATCCCAAACCCCTCCTTTAAAGTGCAGGCATTGTACTTCCCATTTCCAGGACTCAAGTCCGACTATATGAAAATAACCGGTTTCCCTGAACTGTATAAAAAAATAAAGTGATTTCTTTTGTCTCTCTAGTCCCTCAGAAAATGTGTTAATGCACTAAAATGCTCAGGTACTTGTTCTGTTTGTTTTCTGAGGTATTTTCTCACTGTACTTAATAGATGTTACAATTAAAAATTCACAGATTAATTAATATGTTCACCAAGGTAATGAGAGAAAGAGAATACAGAATGCATAAGATTGACAAAACTCACCTCTGTCTGAACTGTTCTCTTTTTTATCTAGAAAAAATAAAAAGCACATAAAAATGCATTAAGAAAAAATATATAGTAAAACTACAGTAATTATCACTTGCAAATAAGAAAACATTTTAAAAAAAAACATATACAGCTTCTAAAAATATTAAAACACTTACTGGACATGCATAACGGAAAGAGTATCCAGGTACAAAGCACTAATAGCTAAGCAGCACACAAAACTGTTACCATGCTGTAAGAACTACAATATCAAATCTTAAACTACACAAGGCTATTTATATACTTATTTTACCTAAATAATGGACAAAGGAAATTAAAGACAGCCTCACATAAATGTTTAATATTAATTATATATAGAAGCACTAAATGAAAATACTGAAGATCTACAAAAAAAAAAAAAAAATGCATTAATTGTGAAGGTGCCTCCTTAACCCTTGCATGTAAATGAATTATTACTTTCTTGACCTCAGACATGAATACAGAATGTTGGTAGGAATCCCTTGGGGAATGTTATGGACCTTCTCATTCTTTTACTCAGGTCAAAGATAATTGTAAGGAGTGGGGGGTGTCATTTACAATTCATATTTTGTTACTGAATGGTAATCTGAGTGAGGTTGGACCTGGCAATGGCTACAGAAAGAATTAACTCCTGGGAGAAAATGAAAGGTAGAACTGTGTAAAATGAGCTAAAAGTGAGAGAGAGGTCCAAATTCATTGAAGTATTAGATATGTTAGTTATGACAGGCATGGCATCAAACCTAAAACAGAAATTAGGTATAGAGTATTAAAATTATGTTTTTAAATATATAAACTAAAGTTTTAAGGGTTGTTATATATTTAAACAATTAGAATGTTTTGAAAGAATAAATAAAAATTATAAATGATTCAATAGCCTCAAAATCTAAGTTTGTGAGTCACACTATGATAAATATTAAAGGTCAAACAGGATAAAATACACATTACTAACTAACCTGGAGTGAGCTTTTAAGGTTAACCTTGGAATGTCTGTTATGTAAATACTGATCTTCTAGCCAGGCTATAAGCTCTAAACTGGGAGGAACTTTCCACACTCCATCTACTTCTAACTCCCATTTTGCTGCTCCTGGCATTAAGCTCATGTATGCTACTTCTCGCTGCCCTTCATTAACCTGCAGAGAGAGAAATAAAATATAATTATTATTATTTTTTTTAACATGCTGGCCGTCTCTCAACGAGGCAAGGTGACCTGAAAGAGAAACACGTTCATCATCATTCACACTATTACTATCTTGCTAGAGGCCCATAGATACAACAGTTAATTATTATTATTATAGAGAAAGAGAGAGAGAGAATAATGCATGTTAAATGTATGAAAGATGCACTTGCTTCAAAGGATCAAGGGGTAAAGGGAACAAGCACAGTTTTATAGATATTTCCTTTGGGCCCCACTGCAGAATACTGCATTTTTAGTACGTGAGAAATGCATTTTTATGTCAGGAGCCTTGGGGAAATGCTTGGGAGTGTGGCCACAGAAAAATGCCTACCAATTAGAGCAAATATCATATTACAGTACCTACTTTATGATTATAAGTGCCACATTATTTGTGTAATAATTTTAAATTATCTCAGCACACCATAGAAAAATCAGAAGATAATAACAAGTCCTATGGCTGAAATGCATTAACTGAGATAAGGAATGAAATAAGAGCTTACAAGAGATAAACCAATCTTTTCCATAGCAAGGCACAGTTCAACAGAGGCTCTCTCGGTTGGAAGTCGGGTGGTAGCAGCCAGGCGATCAGACTGGGTAAAGAGTAATACTCGTTGACTCCCCTGCTTGTAACTCACCCAGTGCACTAGCATTTTATCTCTTCGTGTCTTTGTCAGCTGGAACACAAATGAAAACATTTTTTAAATATATAAAGTGAAATATTTCACTTATAAACCAAAATTATTCAAAATATATAAATAAAAGCAATTATATTTCAAATGCAATACAATAAAAATTGTTATATTCAAGTAAGCTGGGACTAAGACCTTACCAAATACAAATAATACAATTTTACTACTACAGATTTCACTACAACTCAGGGATATTGTTTAAAAATGTATTTACTTCAGAGTGCTTGCATGCATATGTTACAATATGTAAATAAAGTTAAGGAACCTTAACCTAACCTCGTAAAACCCTGTGTAACAAAACAATTACCTGGGACCTGTGGTCTGGGATTAAGAACTGACTATGTACTTTATCAGCAGCACTGTCAGTCTCGTCATCTGAATCTGTTGAGGTTGATGCTGTAGTTTTAGACCTTTGCCGCTGCCCGAGTTTCTTTGGCCTTGTCTTGGGAGTCCCCATACAGGACTGAGATTTAGTTCTCACCATAGCAGGTTTGAGCGATGTAATAGTTACACATTTACTTCCATGATCATCCTGATTTTTAAAAAATTACAGCACTCAGAGTTACTATTGTAAATGCACATAATTCATTAGAGTATAAATAGATAAACTGATAAGTAATTTGCAATCTAATTCCTCATCTAAACCTTTTATGATCATAACAGAATGCATAATTTACATACAATACTCTTCAAAATGTTTGAGGAACATTCAGTATACGTATTCTACACAGTACTACACTCCTTGACTATCTATAACAGATGGGTACTATACTTCTTGACTATCCATGACAGATGTATACTATACTCCTTGACCATCCATGACAGATGTATACTATACTCCTTGACCATCCATGACAGATGTATACTATACTCCTTGACCATCCATGACAGATGATATACTATACTCCTTGACCATCCATGACAGATGTATACTATACTCCTTGACCATCCATGACAGATGTATACTATACTCCTTGACCATCCATGACAGATGTATACTATATTCCTTGACCATCCATGACAGATGTATACTATACTCCTTGACCATCCATGACAGATGTATACTATACTCCTTGACCATCCATGACAGATGTATACTATACTCCTTGACTATCCATAACAGATGAGTACTAGACTCCTTGACTATCTCTGATGGATGCGTACCATACTGTAAGACAGTTGTGAATGATGAATTGCCCTTCAGATTAACATATTCCCTGTACTCAAGTATAGTATTAGGTCTAATATGCTGGTCAGTGGTTTGCATTGCAGAAAAGGTGTTGAAAACTACAAAAGAAAAATTGAAAATAAATACATAAAGACCAAAGGTAATAAGAGTAAGCAGAAACAAGGAGATAAGTTCACCAAATCCAAAGCAATAGTTCCAACTAAACCTAATAAGTCTTCCCTCCAAACCACTAAGACAGTAAATAAATTATTTTTTCTTGATTACAGGAACAAATCTAGCCAACAAAATCCCAAACTCTCTTAGCCCAAGCTAGAGACTGTTTTGTAATTCTATCATTCTTGGCTTTCATACTGTTGATACAGGGTTGTGATCATTGAAAACTGTAATATCATAAGGTGACATGCCCAAGTACATTTCAAAGTGTTTCAAAGCCACAACTAAAAATAAATTTTCCTTTTCCATAGGTCAGAATTGAAGGAAAGTGAATAAGTGAATTTATTTAGATATCTAGAGTTCAATTGAATGAATGATGGTGAATGTGTTTATTTTTTGTGATCACCCTACTGTACCTTGGTAGGATATGGCCAATGAGACAAAAAAAAATCTGTAGTTATATGTAAATCACAAAATAAAAGAGGGACAAAAGGGAAAGAAGGTAAATCACAAAAAAAGTGGGTAAAAAGTTATGAAAGTGCTGATAGTTTAAGAGAGAAGTGTGTCATTGTCTTTTTATCAGAGTACGGTCATGCCAGTGCTTTTGTATAGATATAATCAGTCTTCAAATGTTTCAGTGAGGAAGAAGTGTCTTTTCTGAAATAAATGTGTGATTACCTATTGGTAGCTACAGGGTCAGAGCTATGTTCATGGTGTCTTGTCCTAGGTGTTTGATCTACTGTAAAGTTTCTACAGATTGTAGCACTCATGAACTTCTCTTGTATAACATTATTCTATCACTGAGTCAACTGTGGAGTGAACATTATGCTGAGATGAAAGCATTACAGGGAGACCCTTGATTAAACGAACACCCAAGCTACAATGATCTGCACTTAAGAACAAAGTTCAAGAGGCATAATGAAATACAGTATCACGAAACTAACTGTTGTATGAATTCCCATCCGCAGTTAAGAGTAGGAAAAATTGTTCTTTGTAACATGCTTTTCTTTAAGATAATAGGGTTAGGGTTACGAAAGACTTGTTTCAAGTTGAAACACCAAGATCACAACTCGTTTGTAAACTGGGTATCTAATACAAACAGTTACAACAATGTTTACTATAATTCAGATGTGAATCAGTAAATATCAAGAGACAGGTTCTTGATTACCTTACTGATGATAGCAGGCAGGTCTTCACTTTTTCTGTTGTAGATGTTCCAGAGGAGTTCATGTGGCAATGTTGGGTCATCCCAAGTGTACAGTTGTGATTGGTGTGGTGCCAAGAGATGTGTCTGAAAGTACAAAGAAATATATATAGTGGAACCTTGGTACTCAAACAGCTCCGTACTCGAACAATTCGGCATTTGAACGCTTTGTTTGGTAAACAAATCACTCAGTAGTCGACAGTTTGCTCGGCACTGGACCAAATAAACACGACCTGCCAGAACTTCGCTGTCAACTTTTTCGTAATTCTTCGCATTTTTTGGTGTTTTTTTATATTATTTGTATAAATAAGTCACCATGGGGCCTAAGAGGGTTTGTGATAACAGCCAACCAAAAAGAAAATTGGTTGGGAAAAATTAATTCTGTACTCGAACAGATCAGCACACGAATGGCCTTCAGGAACCAATTAAGTTCGAGTGTCGAGGTTCCACTGAACAGCACTCTTTTAACTTTTTAAAGTCTGTTCTTATATCTTACCACCATTCTTACCATCTGTGAAAAGGATAAAACAGAATTTTGCATATATGTAGTCACTCTCTTAGCTAACCCTTCCTTGTACTGAATTTCTGTAAGGTACTCTCACCTTAGTTGGGATACGACAGTTGTTCATATGTTCACAGTGGAGGATCATGATTCCATCCAACCTCTGGCTGTTAGAATCATTTTACAATTACGTAAAAAATTAACATAACTGAAATATGACTAATTATAAGAATCTAGTACAGATTTATTTCTAAGTATGCATTATATCTACTGGTAATTATATTTGGGTAAAATTTTTAACAAATTCCAACTGAAATTTGTGCCTGGGGTCTACTTCAGCTCTCTACCTCAAACCAAATATCACACAACAAGAGGAAGCTATCAGAAACAACACGAACCAAAATTTTAGGCAATATATTATGTCTTTATTCAGATCCCTAGACTTACAGGAAAACTGCAACAAAACACACAGGCCTGAGACCCTATAAAAGCTTAATACACATAAGAGCCAACCAGCCAGGCTGTGGCTCATATGTTGGTTTGCATGTGGCCAACAGCAAGTCTGGTTGGTCAGGCCCTGATCCACCATGAGGCCTGGTCATGAATCAGGCCACGGGGGCATTGATGCTGAAACACCCTTCAGGCATGGATTAAAAAATTATAATTTTTGAAAAAAAAAAAAAAAAAAAAAAATTTCTATGAAATGATAGAGAATTTTTTCATGATGTTAATGACACCAAAGTACAAAATTTGATGGAAAACTTACAGAATTATGCTCCCGTGAAGTTAGTGATCTTGGGATGTTTACGCATCAGTGATTTCGCCCATTTTGAGCCCTATTTTCGGCCAATTCCATTGTTCCAGTCGACCAAACTCATAGCTATTTCTTTCTAACTCCATTTGTTCTATCGATTGAGTACAAGAAACCACCCATTTACCAATTTCAACTACCCAATAAAATGGTCAGAAATTGGCAATATGGCCAATTTCACACAAATTAAAAAAGATGCCAATTTCAAAATAGGGTACAGAATGAACAATACAGACATTCTTGGCACTAAAATAAAATTTTCTCTGCTCATCAGTCATGTCTCCAGGGCTCTCTTATATTACTCATGCTTTCTATTTTGAATTTTTATTCACACAAAAAATAGAAGATTTACTGTTATGCAGACTACTGCATTATTGTAATAATTATATAAGTAATGTCAACCCATTCATGACTGCATATCAGAATGGTTAATTGGACACTTACTGGACAATGACATCATTTGTTTACTCTTGAACATCAGCAAAAATTGAACATTTCTGCTATTTTGAGCTCATTTTCAAGGTCCCTTTCATCATGAAACCAATCAAAATCATCTCTATTTCTGTAATATGTCTTCCATTCTATCAAATGAGACCAAGAAAATGAGATTACAACCATAGATACTACACGAAAATACACCTCAAAGTCAGTGTTTTAATCCAAATACATGGTCAGATTTTTTTCTCATTATGCACCGCGTGCTGCAGGATTTTTTTTTATACTGCGCACACTGATCACACAGACTCCTCCTCTCACATATGGGCCTGCCAGTTTTCTCCCACTTGATTTGAAGCCGCTAGAATTTTGGAGTATACAGTAAATACATCAAAAATACTGGCTCGTAAGACGTATATAAACGACTGAAACAGTTAAAGGGTTAATGTATCTGGAGCCCAATTACAGAGTAAAACATAAGGAAAAAATGCCTTATGAACTATGACAGACAAAAGTACTACACTGTATTTTGCCCCAAGATATTAGCATGATCTTACTTGGTTTGAGCCTTTTTGGTGAATACGAAGATGCACATCGTCACACCAGTTTTCAACTCTAACTGGTGCATCACCTGCTTGATATTTGTCAAAGGTGATTGTCACTGGGTGATCCGACCCCACACCAGACACACTCACATTCAGTGCTCTCTGTCATCAAGAAATATTAAAGATATTAAATTAGATTACTGTAGTAGCTTTACTAATATACACAGATCCATAGCATGCAAAACTTTGTTATGTTTCTGGTGTTAGAGATATATAAAAATGATACTGTACTTACTATTATGATAGCATTATAATATTGAAAATACAAACATACAGTAATTGCTCTTAACATAATTTTCTTTAGAAATTTAATAATTTAATGCAAAAAGTTGAAACCCCGAGGTAACTTTAGATACGAAACTATTTTCCTGCAAGTATTTATTTATTTTGTCAAAGATTCATGTAACAGGGGAAAGAAACAGAGCATGAAATACAACAGATACCAATGAATGTGAAGGTGCCTTGAAAAGTATTTAAGAATAAGTAGAGTGACTAACACCATGACAATGTAAGCTTACCCCCTTTTCCATCCGAACAACTGTCGAGTGGTTGGAATTGAAGTGAAAATGTTGGGATCTCACTTGCTGGTCACGGTAACGTACAACCATGTGCATGTTTTCACTGTCAGGCCAAAATGCCATACACTATGGAGAAAAATTACTGATGAAATAACAATACCAGTACAAGATTGTATATTAGCACTGAAATTGCATAAATTTTTGTATAAATTATTCTCAAGAATAAAACTCCAATCACTGCCCCCAATATGAAGCATAAATAATCAAACCCAATTGCAATATCTGATCACAATTAAAGGTAACAATATTAAAATTTCCACAGAAAAATGTTGTATATAAATTAATCTTAGATGTTAAAATTTTCTACCATATATTTCACAGTAATTTTTTTTAACATCAGCCATTTTCCACCAAGGCTAGGCAACCCAAGGATGAAAATATCCACTCACCATCACTAAGTGTTTTGCCACAAGAACAATGACATAACAAATCAAATAATCCACCAGACTTAAAAATTCCAACTCATTATTCTCATCTTTTCTCGTGGTAGATCCTCTAACAAAACAAAATAAAAAATGTAAATTCTTTACCTGCTGAGGATGAATGTCGTACCAGAGCTCCACTTTGTCATTCTCTTGCATAAACTTAAGTGGTCGGGCAGTAAGGTTACGTATTAAGAAGTATGGCATCAGGGTTACCATCTTTGTTAAGTGAAGTTTGCCCCGGTTTGGTCCTGAAGAAATATGGGTTTATGACACTCAAGTAGTAAATTATTATAGTTACTGTACCTAGACATTCTGAGAGTGTTTAAATGGAACAAATGTAGTTTATTTTTTATATATGCACTTAAAAAAGAAATGCTTATTACACACTGTCTAAAAATGATTTAAAATACAGTGGAACCTCGGTACTTGAACAGCTATGTACTCAAATAATTCGGTATTGGAACGTTTTTCTTCGGTAAACAAATTGCTGAGTAATTGACCGTTTGCTCAGCACTTGACCAAACAAACATGGCCTGCAAGAACTTAGCTGTAAACTATTTCATATTTCTTAGCATTTTTTGGTGTTTTTTATATTACAGCCTATTATTATTATTATTATTATTATTATTATTATTATTATAATGTTGGTAGAATTACTGACAATATGTTAAGTTAAAGGACAAATGTGCAACTACTGCAACATTTTATTGTGGCAACGTTTTGCTCTGCAGGAACTTTAAATACAAATACACATACATGTACTTTATTTCTTTTCTGCAGTATATAATTAATGTAGTTTACATGTAATAAAATATTGTTAATCATAAATAAAAGCCACTAGCATGCAGTGTATTTTGAGCACATTTATCCTAGTGCTTCAATACTACTGGAGAACTAGAGACAGTTTGTCAAGCTTGTCAAAGTTCCTGGAAAGTGAAACATTGCCGCAATAAAATGTCACATAAGTTGCACATATGTCCTTTTACCTAACTTTTTTTTACTGACACACTAGCCATTTCCCACCAAGGCACTGTGACCCAAAAAAGAAGAAACACATTTATCATGACTCACTCCATCACTGTCTTACCAGAGGTATGCTGACACTACAGTTAAACACCTGCAACATATCTACACCCCTCCTTCAGAGAGCAGGCACTGTACTTTTCACCATCAGGACTCAAGTCTTGCTAACTGGTTTCCCCAAAATCCCTTTATAAATGTTACTTTGCTTACACTCCAACATATTAAATATAGAGCTAATGAAGATTTCAGTGCTAATACAACAAGATAAGATAAGACGAGATACTTTGGAGTGAATGATGGTGAAAGTTTTTCTTTTTCGGGCCACCCTGCCTTGGTGGGAATCGGCCAGTGTGATAATAAAAATAAAATACTTTAAAGAACAAATGGCACAATGCTGTGACTGGAACAATACACAAATAACCCACACATAGGAGAGAGGAAAGAGAACTTTGTAAATGGTCCAAATTGGACTGAAATGTCATCATAAGCTCCTCTCTCCTGTGTGGGTTATTTGTGTATGAGATACTTTATTTCAGTATGATACAATATTTGTACAAAGGTGAATGACATTTAGGAGTGCATGCAGAAAGCCCCTTAATATGCAAAGTATTTCGGGCAAACTTATGACTAACTTAAGATTAATCAAACAATGACAATTTGAGTGGTTTTATACATACAGAAAAAGAACCCACCTTGAACTCCCTCAATTGGGGCTTGTGCTGTTAAGGTTGACTGCTTAACCTTAGCCAAAATTCTGTACTTTCTGCCACGTACACTATCAGTACAAACAACAACACCACAGGAGCCGACAGCTTCGCAGCTCCACCGACGAGACCAATCACTCTCAAGAACTCTTATCTAAAAACAAATTGTTACTTAATCTTTGTGTTCCATGGAAAGCACTCTTAAAAATATTATTAAAATTTAAATAAAATGTTAAGAGCTTTACTAATACTGTACTGTAATACATACCTATAAAAATTAAAATACAGGCAAGTTAAACAAGTAAATTTTCAATTATAAGAATTATAACAAATTTTCATGTACAATATCATGAACTGTCAGTAAAATTATAATCTAATTGCATGTATAATTGCACAGCATGTTTGAAACATAAACCAAGATCAATGTATAAGAAAAGAAAAGGTTTTAGTGAGTACGTCCAACTACGTGTATACTCTTGAAAATAATTTCAAGTGCTCTATAAGCCATAATACTGTACAATTATTATTATTTAGGTACAATAACCACTTATTTCTCCATGGGGAAGTGGAACAGAATTCTTCCTCCGTAAGCCATGCGTGTCATAAGAGGCGACTAAAATGCTGGGAGCAAGGGGCTAGTAACCCCTTCTCCTGTATATATTACTAAATTTCAAAGGAGAAATTTTCGTTTTTCCTTTTGAGCCACCCCACCTCGGTGGGATACGGCTGGTATGTTGAATTCAGAAGAATAACCACTTACTACTATAAGCCTTAAAGCAGTGTAAGTGGGCTGCCTTGATGCCAATGAAAGGCACTTGATCCAAGGTATTAGAGTTATCCTTCTCTTCCTTGAATCAAATCTCATTTATTCCCTAGGCTCTGTATGATTTCTACAAATTTAGCAATTCCCCATGAATATAATAAAAACAATAATCTACCACTGCAAAACTGTAGGTGTTAACCTGTCATTTCATATCATTATTTCATGATACAGGTAGGCCCCACTTATACAGCAGGTTAGGTTCTGGCATACTGCTGTAAAGCAAAAAATTGCTGTAAAGTGAAGCAGCCTTTTTTTCACTTTCAAATGCATATAAAAGCCTGATAACACGTTTACACTATCAAACGTGAGCACTATACTAAGGCCTAAAAAATGCATATATAGTATTCAGATATTTGGGAGTGGACGTGTCAGCGGATGGGTCTATGAAAGATGAGGTGAATCATAGAATTGATGAGGGGAAAAGGGTGAGCGGTGCACTTAGGAATCTGTGGAGGCAAAGAACTTTGTCCTTGGAGGCAAAAAGGGGAATGTATGAGAGTATAGTTTTACCCATGCTCTTATATGGGTGTGAAGCATGGGTGATGAATGTTGCAGTGAGGAGAAGGCTGGAAGCAGTGGAGATGTCATGTCTGAGGGCAATGTGTGGTGTGAATATAATGCAGAGAATTCGTAGTTTGGAAGTTAGGAGGAGGTGCGGGATTACCAAAACTGTTGTCCAGAGGGCTGAGGAAGGGTTGTTGAGGTGGTTCGGACATGTAGAGAGAATGGAGCGAAACAGAATGACTTCAAGAGTGTATCAGTCTGTAGTGGAAGGAAGGCGGGGTAGGGGTCGGCCTAGGAAAGGTTGGAGGGAGGGGTAAAGGAGGTTTTGTGTGCGAGGGGCTTGGACTTCCAGCAGGCATGCATGAGCGTGTTTGATAGGAGTGAATGGAGACAAATGATTTTTAATACTTGACGTGCTATTGGAGTGTGAGCAAAGTAACATTTATGAAGGGATTCAGGGAAACTGGCAGGCCGGACTCGAGTCCTGGAGATGGGAAGTACAGTGCCTGCACTCTGAAGGAGGGGTGTTAATGTTGCAGTTTAAAAACTGTAGTGTAAAGCACCCTTCTGGCAAGACAGTGATGGAGTGAATGATGGTGAAAGTTTTTCTTTTTCAGGCCACCCTGCCTTGGTGGGAATCGGCCAGTGTGTTAATAATACATGTAATATAATAATATAAGTACACATATTACTTACCTTAAAATATTTTCATCCTTTGTTTATAGAGAGTGGAGAATATATTTATTGTAGGAAGTTTGAATAAATGAAGATTGGGTATATTTGAAAACCACTGTACTAGTGAAACACTGTAAAGTGGGGCCCTCTTGTATTGCTATAGCTAAAAGCAATTATTCCAGCAAGCCACAGATGACTCTTACCTTAAGTTTATATGGATAATTTCTCTTGTACCGAAATAAGATTATATCTTCAGACCCATTCAGATCATATATATTCTTTGATCTTGATCCCTGAAATACATAAAAAAATTATTATATCTAAATGCATGAATTTAAAATCTTACTCTTTTGCTTGATAATGAATAAAAATGGCACAGTACCATTAATGGTCCAAGTCAGACCAAAACATTGTCATAACTTTGTTTCTCATGTGTGCAAGTTATTTGTTTACTGCTTGATAACGTTGTCCATTCAAACAGTCAAATATATATATATATAACCATTTGTTAATCAGGCCATGTATCCTCCTTAACAAGAAAAAGCAAGGCAAAAAAACAAAAAGACGTACAGTATTTGGATTGGCAGGATAGCTCTAGCTAACTAGCTAGGTAGAGCTAGTGTTGCTCCATGATTCACTGCTTGGACCTGCCAATCTTCAATTTTTTTTAAAGACATGAAGAGGTTGTAGGAAACCCAAACAACTGAGCTGAGGTAAAAGGTATTTAAAGGCATCAAAAATTGTGCATACTAGTATATCACACAGTTATCACCTGTGTATTGGTACATCAGACACACAGTTGTCACCTGCATACTGGAACATCAGACAAACAGTTGTCACCTGTGTACTGGTACATCAGACACAGTCATCACCTTCATATTGGTACATCAGACACACAGACATCACCTGCATACTGGTACATCAGATACACAGTTGTCATCTGCATACTGGTACATTAGACACACAGTTGTCACCTGCATACCAGTACATCAGACACACAGTCATCATCTGCGTACTGGTACATCAGACACACAGTCATTGCCTGCGTACTGATACATCAGACACACAGACATCACCTGTGTACTGGTACATCAGACACATAGTCATCACCTGTGTACTGATACAACAGACACAAAGACATCACCTGTGTACTGGTACATCAGACACACAGTTGTCACCTGCGTACTGGTACATCAAACACACAGTCATCACCTGCATACTGGTACATCAGACACACAGACATCACCTGTGCACTGGTACATTAGACACAGCTGTCACCTGCATACTGGTACATTACACACAGTTGTCACCTGTGTACTGGCACAGCAGACACGCAGTCATCACCTGCGTACTGGAACACTGGACACAGTTAAAACATTAAGAGTTTGTATAATAGTTCCCTTGAGGCTAAGAGGGAGTAAATCTGGCAAGTGGCAAGGTGAAAGGTGGGGCCATTAGCTAGGACTAGAACCACATATGGGTGAATGCACATAGGCGAGTACTGTAAATATATGCTGTATATTTAGTTAGGCTTAACCTTGCTCGAAAAGCTCCACATAACTATGGACTTTCAACATGCACTCCAATATCATCCATTTCTATATAAACAATGTATCATGATCAATAATAACCCATAGGGAGAGAGAAACTCAAGAGATTGATTGATCTGTATATTCTGACCCCTTCTGAGGATCCCATGTCTCCATGTGGGTTATTATTAATCACTGACAAATGTTCATCACAGTTTTTCACAATGAATCATGTTGTAATAAACTTGTGCTTGTATTACAAGAAAATACTAAGACTGTACTTACTCTAATGTGTAATGGAAGTCCAGTTTTGTTAACAATCCAGTAAGGAGAATATACATAAATAGAAGTTGATCCTTCTCTGACACAGTAAAGTGCCAAATCAAGTTTTTTACGAGCATTGCCATCACCGTGACTTAGAGAAAGTGTTCGATGGTGATCACCTTTCTCTGCTCCTATTTCAAGAGTACCATTCCAATCACTGCCTAAATAATTACACACCTGAAATAAAATTAGAAAAGAATTAACAAAAATATATTCTGACCACACTGAAAGTGATCACTACTTCAATTTACATTACAGTGTTATTAAATAAATATTTTACTTATCTGATTCTTCTAGAATTGATGTAAAAAAAATTTTCAAACCTTTGAGATGAGACCTAATAACTGTATTCTCAATACATCTCATTAAGTGAAAAAATTACCTTTAGCATTAACTTTCCAGACTCACATTTATCTCACTCAAAAGCTTTTTCTTAGAAGAATTTATAGCCACCTGCTGCCTTTTTTGGTAGCTTCTTTCTTTCTTTTACTCTAAATTTGGTACCTTTTTTGGAAGCTTTTTTCTTTTTCTCTAAATCTACCACCTATTTAGTAGCTTCTAACTTTTACTCTAAATTTGCTACCTTTTTTTTTTTTGGTAGTTTCTTTCTTTTACTCTAAATCTACCACCTTTTTAATAGCTTCTTTCTTTTACTCTAAATTTGCTACTTTTTTTTGGTAGCTTCTTTCTTTTACTTACTCTAAATTTGTGAATTACCAGCTTCTGATTGTACCTTCAACTTTATTTACATAAAACATTCATGTAATCATTCATGATAAACTAGAAAAAAAGCAAATGTTGATGGAAAACAAACTGCACACATCATTAACAAATATATAATGTTATGTGACTAAGAATTGGTCACTCACCTGAACTTCTAGGCACAGCTTCTCCTGCAGATTGACTTTATAGAGAGAGGTTAGAGCCCCAGGATCAAGAGTGAGAGGCTGAGCAAGTACTGGATGTGTCACAACCAGAGTGCATGGAAGATGATTGTATATGGTAAGAGGTGGTGACAGTCGCAGTGTGTAATTTGGAAGAACTCCACTCAGTCCTTCCCACTGAAGGCTACTTAATTTCATGCTTTCTTGAATTGTCACCTAAAACACAAATTTATAATCAGTAACAATGAAGAAAAATTAAGTTATTTCTTGATTACATTTGCATGAGCTGAGGCAAAGGTACAGGATGTCCTTAATTTATAGATGAGCTGTGGTCCTAATTTTTTAACTTAAAATTTAGTTTGTGTAGCAAATAACAATACAGAGGATGTATGTTACACACATTTGGAATAGAGCTCAGGGGTTGTAAAACACAGTTTTGCAAGTGTGGATGTGTGTAACTTGGAGTGTTTGAAGGATGAACCCTCCTAATTAAGCACTAATTAAGCATTACCATATAGAGAAACAACCAATTATAATTTTGAGTGAAAAGAGAGAGAGAATGGTATAATGTAATTCACAAAAGCCATAAAGTTACATACAGCTGCAGCAATGTCAGGGTCGTGCTCTGACTTGGGTTTACAGGTGAGTAGATAAGAACAAGTAGATGAAAGCACATCCTTCCACCACACTCCGATTTCACTAATGCCATAGCTGAAATAAGGTGTGTTTAATTATTAAAATAATTACTACATTATTACTGAAAAGCTAATACAATATTTGTTGTCTCGCATTACAGCATAATAGTTCAAGTAGGGCCTTCATGTACAAGGGCTCCTCGACTTACAATGTTTTGACTTTATATTTAGCATTATGATGGTGTAAATGCAATTACTGTACTTTGGAGGTGAAACTTAATTGCCCAGCATGATGGCAGTAACTTGTATTCATTTATTTACTTTTCAATATTAGTATTTAGTTAGTTACAGTAATTATCTGTTTATTTACTTATTCAGTGAGATTAGTTATACATGTATATTTATTTATTTAACATATCGGATTCATGTTCAACTTTCAATATTTTTGACTTACGATGGGTTCGTCGGAACGTAACCCCATCGTACGTCGAGGAGCACCTGCATAGCCAAGCACTGAGCCACACATTCAACTCACTCTGCAGCAGCAGGTTGGATATGTAGAGGGGAGTGATAAGCAACAGTAAGAGGTACTGTGAAAACTTGGTCTGGCTGCAGGGTGACCATGGGAACATGAGCCTCAAAGGGGTTGACAGGTGACACCACTCTAGTGTGCAGCTCTCCCATTGATGAACTAAGCATCTCTATAATACTCTTCTTGAAGCAAATGTTGAGAGGTAGAGGCATATCATTCAAAATCTGTAAATAAAATAGTTTGGTGTGAGAGAAGTACAAATTTAATATACCTGTTTAATTGACCTTATCCAAAGTTTTAAAAATATATGTTGATTATTTTCATAAAACAAAATTTAGCCAGAAAATTGATTAAAAGTACAGATAACTTTTCTAGTCCTAAGGTTCACATTTCTTTATACAGCCTCTCCTCACTTAGCAACGTACATGTTTACTGAAGACTCGGACTTACAAGAGGCTCTCCAACCAGTATGCATAACTAAATAATGTATATTAGTGCTGATTTCCTCTAGTCTGTTTATTAGAATACACAGTACACTGCTGTATAAGCATTTAAAAATATATCAGAAATGTTATAAATGGTGCAAAGGTAACATTAAAACAATATTAAAGATGACTGACACAAACCCACTACCATTATAGTATGCTCCTCACTTCGTGATGAATGCGTTTACCAACGTGGTTTTACGAATGGAACTCCATCATTAAGTGAGGAGAGGATGTAGTTTAGAAACTGAAAGTCTTTGTAGATGAATGGTTCAGAGAACCGACATGTTGATAAATTAGACACATGTGCAACTCTTGGGTATCTTTATTGAGGAAACGTTTCGCCACACAGTGGCTTCATCAGTCCATACGTAGGAGAAACTTGAAGAACAGGAGGAGAATGAGGTAATCAGTCCCTCAACCTTGAGTCGATGTGTTCAGTCCATCAATCTTGAATAGAATACGGCATATCAGCGGAGAAGCAGCTTATAAACCGTATGGCAGGAGAGGTGCAGCAGTCATAGGTCGTGTCACATTTGTTCAATGTGGAAGTAGGTCGTGCCCAAGAATTAGGCAAGCGAAGAAAGATACCCAAGAGTTGCACATGTGTCTAATTTATCAAACTGAAAGTCGCTTTGTTTACATAGTGAATGTAGTTTTTTACATGAAATATTGAAAATAATTTATGTACATACTACAATTTAAACTTTAGTTGTAATCTCATAATGACAACATAATAAAGAAGGAGTATGAGGAAAAATATTTACCAGTAAGAGGGGAATGTGTGAGAGTACAGTTATACCAACGCTCTTATATGGGTGTGAAACATGGGTGGTGAATGTTGCAACAAAGAAAAGGCTGGAGGCAGTGGAGATGTCATGTCTGAGAGCAATGTGTGGTGTAAATATAATGCAGAGAATTCGTAATTTGAAAATTAGGAGGTGTGGGATTACCAAAACTATTATTCAGAGGGCCGAGGAGGGATTGCTGAGGTGGTTCGGACATGCAGAGAGGAAGGAACAAAATAGAATGACTTCGAGAGTGTATAAATCTATAGTGGAGGGAAGGTGGGGTAGGGGTTGGCCCAGGAAAGGTTGGAGAGAGGGGGTAAAGGAGGTTTTGTGTGTGAGGGGCTTGAACTTCCAGCAAGCATGCGTGAGTGTGTTAGATAAGAGCGAATAGAGACAAATGATTTTTAGGACTTGATGTGGTGTTGCAGTGTGAGCAAGGTAACATTTATAGAGGGATTCAGGAAAATGGGCAAGCCAGACTTGAGTCCTGGAGATGGGAGGAACAGTGTCTGTACTCTGAAGGGGAGGGGGTGTTAATCTTGCTTATAACTGTAGTGTACATGCGCCTCTGGCAAGACAGTGATGGAGTGAATGATGATTTAAGTTTTTCTTTTTCAGGCCTCCCTGCCTTGGTGGGAAACGGCCGATGTGTTAATAAAAAAAATAAATATACGTATTTAATTCACCAAATGGCATCGTTACAAAGTGGGTGGAGCTATAGTAGAGGGAGAAGCCAGCAGCATCACAGGATTCACCATGACACATGGAGGTGTGTGCCTCACAGCACTATAAAATATTGTATACTTATACTATTACTATCAATAAAGGTTATATACCTATCATATTTATTCCAGAAGAATATGTGGTAAAACATAAATAACGCAGAAGCATGATAAAGATGCCCAAATTAATAAAAACTGACATTACATAGAGAGGTATTGAAGATTGGGTGGAGCTATATGAGAGAGGAAGAAGGCACGGGCTCATGGCACTATAAAATATTGTATAATTATACAATTATATAATTATTTACCTATCATATTTATTACAGAATAATATTTGGTATAACATAAATAAAGTAGAGGTATGATAAAGATGCCCAAATTAATAAAAACTGACATTACATGGAGAGGTATTGAAGGGTGGGCGGCAGTGGAGGGCGGGAGGAATAAAAAAAAAGTGACCACAACTATTACAGAAAACATTATGCACCTGAATGGTAACTATAGATCACTCTTATCCTATGCAAAGACTGTAAAAAGTGCGATTTTCTCAAAATATTTTTTCCCGAGTAATCAGCTATACACACATTTCCTGGAATATCTCAGAAGTTACTGACTCATTTCATGTCATATCACCATTAATAATGAAGAGATTTAAAGGATTTTCACAGCAAACATAAAACTGAAGGTTTTAATTTTGGGTGGTGACATTTTTGAAGTGTATCAGTAAGGGGTGATTCCTCGACTAGTGACGAATTCATTTACCAACGTGGTCTTAGGAACAGAACTCTGTCGGTAAGTGAGGAGAGGCTGTATAGTATTGTGTAGTATAGTACTGTATAGTATAGTATAATATATCATAGCATAGTACTGTGTAGTATATTATTGCACAGTACTGTATAGCATAGTGTAATATAGTATACTACCATGTAGCACATATACACAATGGTTTACTCTTATGTTGCTGATTTGTGTCTAAGCTACACATTTACTACATTAGGAAAGCAAACAAAAAACTCAAATTATAATAACCTAATTCAAATTGTATTTGATATGACTCTGTGACTGACTGGCTTTGAGAGTAGCACATCCGTCTAATGATTAGTGGACAGAGGACTGAGCCTCCACTTTTCCTTATAATGAATGACCCACACAGGCTTTAGCATTTCACATAAACAGAACATGAACATACGAGAGATTATAAAGCATGACTTTTAATCGTCAATTGACCCAGAAAGATAACCTTTTTGTAAAATTTCTGTTTTTTTTCAAGGCAACTACAAATTCATATTGTATGATAGAATTTAGATGAATTTATTTAGCAGCCACAGTTGGTATACCAACAAAGCAAAGCTTCCACTTATGTTGGTGAATGGCTCTGAATCCAAGGAACTGGAACTACTCTCCCCTCCTTTAGATTAAACTTAATTATATCCCATTATGCAAAAGTTTATATTAGTACAAGGCTGACCTGCAGTGGACTTCGAACTGTAACTTTGGTGGTGAGGTGGTCCACCTGAACGGTAACAATAATGTGATATCTCCGGTCATTTCGTGGTGGACTTAACTGGAAGATGCGGCTTCGTGATCTTGTACCAACAAAGACTGTGAGTTCATCAAATCCTGGAATGGAAGTCTCATGAAATTCTGAATCCATGTATGATAACCTGGATTAAACTAAAATTTTGATGTATTAGGAAAAAAATAATTCTTTTTTTTTTTTTTGCATACAAACTTGAAATACTTTTATGCATAAATGAAGAATTTAACAGTTTCTAAAACCTTTTTTTACAGTAGACTCACATCCTACTCCTTGAAAGGCCATGCCTTTTCCTACTCAAAGTCCTACCTCCACAACAGACTCCAACGTAAGTGTAAATGACACCACTTCATCTACTCAACCCATCAGTGTAGAAGTGCTGCTGTAAGGTATCATTCTAGGACAAATTTTATTTCTCCTTTACACCAATAACCTACCAAATGCATCTCAACAACTTAAACCAGTTTCATTCATGGATGACACTACCTGCATCATCTCTAATCCAGATCTGGCTGACCTCAATAACAGTGCTGAACTAGAAGAGGCATTGGCTTGCATGGGTACAAAAAAATTAACACCCACTAGTGAAAAGACATACTGCATAATGTTTGGGGATAAAGCTAAATACCATTCAACTAAACATAAAAGATAAATAATACATACATTGAAGAATAAGATAAGGGTATATTCTTAGGTATTCACCTTGACAGCAAACTAAATTTAATAAACAAGCAGCAAGGGGCTAGTAACTTCTTCTCATGTATACATTACTAAAGTTAAAAAGAAAAGCTTTTGTTTTTCTTTTTGGGCTGCCCTGCCTTGGTGGGATGCAGCTGGTTTATTGAAAGAAGAAGATGCAGCATATATCTAAAAAGTTTCAAAAATGGTGGGCATTCTTTCCAGAATATGCTGCTCTGTAGTATCACAAAGATCACTACTTAGTCTGTACTAATCTTTAACACTTTAACTGTGTGTGATAAATTTATGCATGCAACCAAATTGTGTGTGACATTGTTCTTTAACACTGGCCATCTCCCACTGAGGCAGGGTGACCCAACAAAGAAGAAAACACTTTCACTGTCATTCATTCAATCACTGTCTTGCCAGAAGGATGCTGACATCACAGATCCCCACCCCTCCCTCAGCATGCAGGCCCTATACTTACTACCACCAAGATTCAAGTCCAACTAACTGGTTTTCCTGAATCCCTTCATAAATGTTACCTTGCACATACTCCAACAGCATATCAAATCCTAAAAACTCACTCATATCTAACATGCTCACACAAGCCAAACTCCTAGCACTTGAAATCTCCTTTACCCCTTCTTGCCAACCTTTCCTAGGGTGACTCAGACCCTTCCTTCCTTCCACCCCAGATTTTTAAGCCCTCCTTGTCATCTTGCTTTTTCCCCCTCTTCTCTAAATGTCCAAACCACTTCAGCAACCCCTCCTCAACCCTCTGAATAATATTTTCTGTAACTTCACACTTCCTCTTAATCTCCAAACTCTGAATTCTCTGCATAATATTTACACCACACATTGCCCTCAAACATGACATCTCTACTGCCTCCAGCTTTAAAATATGCCAACCGAAGCCATTTTAGGTCTCGCCTCAGCTGTTTGGGTTGTCTACCACCTTCACTTAGGAAACAATGAAAGCCCATGTGGTTCACACATTGCATAATGGGAAACACTATCTCATAAGCACATATGCACAATGCTGAGTCACAACAAGAGCTTTACTCTAGTGAAATCAGGATGATTTTGTTCCAAGAAGACACTTTTACCTGGTGTAGTTCTATTGAGACAAATATGCTCTTACAAACTATAATTCTTTTCTCAAAATTTTCCCACACAGGAATTAACTAACACTCCCTGGCCTTGCATAGTTATAGGGTTTAACTACCCTTACCTCACCTATGGTACATGTGAATAAGGATCCACAACAACATTTAATCACAGCCCTACAAAAATCTGCCATTAGAGCAATCATAATCTAGCTACAGACAATACACCCTCCCACTTTTCAAATATTTCAACCTACTTAACATGCCAAGTATCCACACATCCTACGGTACACAGTCCACTCTATACAAATACTGAATTACTGAGCTAAAACAATCCGGAGACAGCTGAAACAGATCACCTAGAGGCAGGGTGACCTGAAAAAGAAACACTTTCACCATCATTCACACTATCACTGTCTTGCTAGAGGTGCATGATATGACAGTTTAAATGTCCCTCCAAACAGCAAATATTCCTATCCCTCCTTAAGAGTACAGGCACCACACTTCCCACCTCGAGGACTCAAGTCTGGCTAAACAGTTTTCCTGAATCTCTTCATTTGATATTCCATGTGTACAAGTCAACCTAAGAAAACACCCCACGCAAATCCAAGGACCCAAAATTTGAAACTTACCTGAAGGCAAAAAAAAAAAAAAAAAAAAAAAGAAAAAAAAAAAAAAAAAAAAAAAAAAAACTGTAACAATTATTAACATTTACAATATCAACTGTATCTTATACCACTAACTTTAGTCACTTCCCTATTGTGATATAAACCACCTTGTGATATACAGAAATTATTAGTGTTGACCACACAAAAGTTGGTGCACTCTCACTCTCAATGGGGCCATAAATATCTCACATGCTGGAATTCAACTGATGAGGGTTTAACACAGATACAGTTTAGCATTAAAGGGACATTTTACACTGATAAAATAAAGTGGTTAACATGTTGACACATCCAACCATGTAATAAGCATTGGCCAATGGAACATGCAGTGTCCCATATATTCCATGCAGTTTGTTTCCACCATATTATCACATCAATACACTATATCATTCTACAAGTCAATTTTCAGACAATGTAAAACCTTTTCAGTTAAGTGTAATTTTAAACATGTATGAAATTCAAATGCATCACAATGGCCAAAAGAAACTTCAGGGATGTAAAAAACCATTGTCAGGGATGTAATTGTAGTCAGTGAACCATAGTTGCAATGCATTGGTATGAGCAAACTAGATCTACACTCAAATTCAATTTCAACAATCAACATACCAGGAACACTAATTTTCAATTGATATTTTGTGATATCTTGATAAAGAGTAACAGGGTTGGGGCAGAACTGGTCAAACTGAGGCTCCAGCAGGGGTATATCAGAAAAGAGGTTCCAGGTTGAAACCCCAGCACATGATTTCAAACTTAGGTGGTCCCAGTCACCAATCCTGAGGAACATAAATGATGGAAAGTGGTCAGCAGACACAGTCAAACAAATATTGTATTAATTTGCAAATAATCCACACATAGGAGAGAGAGAACCTTATGATGACATTGTAAGCTTCTCTCTCCTGTGTGCAAGTTATTTGTTCTTTGTTTCAGTTATGGTATTGTGCCTTTTTGTTCTTTATTCTATTAATTTTTCAAATTCATCAAAGATGCAACACATAAGATGCTTCCATTATAGTCCATCAAAGGCAAGTAACAGTTGCAGTTTGTTACTTTCATCACACATAATGTGAAATCTCAAACTAATACTGTACGTATTTATTTTTATGGAAGCAATAAATAAGATTCCACATGGCTGATGGAATTACTATGTGTAAAAAGAAGATAAACTTCAGAGTTTTCCTCTTCTTTTGGGGTAACTTTGCCTTGGTGGAAAACGGCCAGTAAGTTGAAAAAAAAAAAAAAGACTTTTGGAAAGAGTGACAAGAGATTCCAAAGTCTAAGTTTAAATATAACTTCTAAAGTTACTGACACATGGGAAAACAAATTATAGTCGTCTTCAGAAATTTGTGGTGGATGACACTCCTAGAGTTTCCACAAATCTAAAAATCAGAGAATACAAAGTAATGTCTGTGTAAAAAAAAAATCAAATGTGGAATAATTTTGTATTTCAGAGAACACTGATCTACTCTGGTTATTACTGACTTTCAAAAGAAAGGATTGTACATAAAGTATTAGAATTTTTTATTATTATCCCATAGCTTGATCGCTAGAGCACTCAGCTCACACACTGAGGTCTAGGGGTCGATTTCCGGTACAGCTGGAAACATTAAGAAGTGTTTCCTTAAGATGCCTGTTGTCCGATGTTCACTTATCAGTAATATGGGTACCTGGGTGTTAGTTGAACGGTGTGGGTTGTATCCTGGGACAAAATTGACCTAATTTGCTTGAAATGCTCTGCATAACAAGGGGCTTTCTACGTAGCATACGTCACTGATGTTAGCTAGGCTTGCATGCATTGTATATGTACTTGTAGACATAAAGATTATAATTATTATACTTGTTGATAACAATCTTCCTGAAGGTTTCCCATCAGCAATAAGTGGAATAATCAAACTCCACAAATAAAGAATCCTGAATATGTGGGGATGACTGTGCAGTATATACAAGAAAAAGGTAAGCCCATTATAATTTTCAAGTGGCAGATAAATTTTTAAAAACTGGACATGGATAAAAATGTATGCACCCTAAAATAGTATGTTATACAGTACAATACATTATGCTAAATAAATAAATTGATAGAATTAATGCCAACACATAAGTTAGATCTTTTTATTAGATAGTATCTTTTATGAATCATTTACTGATACAGTATACATATACAGTGGACCCCCGGTTAACGAACTTTTTTCATTCCAGTAGTATGTTCAGGTGCCAGTACTGACCGAATTTTTTCCCATAAGGAATATTGTGAAGTAGATTAGTCCATTTCAGACCCCCAAACATACACGTACAAACGCACTTACATAAATACACTTACATAATTGGTCGCATTTGGAGGTGATCGTTAAGCGGGGGTCCACTGTACTAGTATAAAAATTAATAAAAAAAAAAATGATTGGCAACAGACAGCATTCTAGGTCAAAGTTTCAACAACTTCTGAGGGTGATATTTGTTCTTTCAACTTTAGGTAAGTTAAATGCTGTACTCAGCATTATAATAACACACAGTTCAGCACGAGAAAAAGGCCTCAGAGTAGACTAGACATCAATTTTAAGATAAGGGAAATCTAGATACAATTATTTCTCTAATGGCTATACATACCACAAACGAGATTTTTTGTACTTAGCCATTTTGAGTGATATGCTGTCTGTGAAATCATATTCTAGTCCCAAATAAGATCTGTAACTACAGGTGCTCCTTGACGTACAATGATTCAACTTACTATATTTCAACTTTATGTTGGTGTAAAAGCAATTACTTGGATATGAAACATAAGATGATTACCCAGGACGAAGGCAGCAAGTCTGTAACTCATATTCATTTATTTACTTTTCAACTACCCAAATACAGTGGACCCCCTGGTTTACGATATTATTTCATTCCAGAAGTATGTTCAGGTGCCAGTACTGACCGAATTTGTTCCCATAAGGAATATTGTGAATTAGATTAGTCCATTTCAGACCCCCAAACATACACATACAAACGCACTTACATAAATACACTTACATAATTGGTCGCATTGGGAGCTGATCGTAAACCAGGGGTCCACTGTACTCTATCTCCAACTAATTCTACTGAAGTCTCACTCATCATTAAATCATTAAAAAACAAAGCAGGAGATCTAGATAACTTGCCTCCATTCATATATAAAAAAGCTACCAATATGCTGTCACCCATTATTGCAACACAAACAAATCTGTAGAGTCCTCAACCTACCCATCCATACTCAAGACAGCAAGGGTTACTCTGATCCTCAAGGAGGTGATCCAACTGATTTGAACAACTATAGACCTATATCAAACTTGCTGTTACTTTCTAGAACATTCAAAAAATAATACATAAATGCCTTTACTCCTACTAACAACATACTTAACCCCTGGGGCTCTTCATTGGCCTATGGAAAGCATCTGATACAGTGGACCACAATCTCCTGCACCTAAAACTAAATCATTATGGCATCAAAAGACATTCCCTTGATTACCTAAAACCTTATCCTAACGATAGACACCAGTATGTATACGCAAACAGAGTCAATTCCACTATCCAGCCTGTAGCTGTCATAATGCCCCAGGGTAGTGTCCTAGGTCCACTCCTCTTTCTCATCTACATCAATGATCTCCCCAATGCATTCCAACTCCTTAAACCAGTTCTTTTCGCAGATGACACTACTTATATCTACTCCCACTCAAACCCAGCTATACGTAGAGACACTGTAAACAACGAGCTGCTAAAAATATATACTGTACTTGGATGATGATCAACAAATTCACTCTCAACATTGACAAAACATATTTCATGCTGTTTGGAAACAGAGCCTTAAATATCCAACTTAATATGTCAATAAATGGTTCCCATATTTCAAAACACACAGAGGGTAAATTTCTAGGTCTTCTCCTTGATTGTAATCTTAAATTTTATTCCCATATCCATCATATATCCAAGAAAATTTCCAAATCAGTAGGCATCCTTTCCAAGATACCATACTATGTACCCCAAATGACACTCCTTACCCAATACCACTCATTAATATATCCGTGCCTCACCTATGGCATTTGTGCCTGGCGATCAACCACAGCCAACCCCCTTAAAGTTCTTGATAGCTACAACAGAACGCACAGTCACAATACAATGCATAAGGCTCTCTTCAACATCCTTCGTGTTAGTCTCACACTATGCAAAAATGCAATGCACATAAAGGACCCGAAGATCTGGAATTCACTACCTGAACCGGTAAAGGATCCCCTGACTACTTATAAATTTAGGACTTTGCTTAAAAATCATCTCATCTATCAATACTAACCAAACCAACCAAAACAACTTCTAATAAGTTATATTATATTATATGACCTCTAGTCTATTAAACATCTGCCAATCCATGAAATATTACTGCTTGAGCCATTAATTGTAATATTGTTTTTATTATGTGCAACTACCTCGTATTAGTATTAAGATTAAATAAAGATTTTAATAAAAGTTAATCACTCTTATCTTGTCTAGATTTAAGTAGTTATTATGTATTAGGATTAGTCTGCCCAAAATGCCCCTTCATGATAGTGGCTTTCTTTGTACTTATCAAACTAAAATTGTAATTACACACTGTAACCTTTATAAAGAAATAAAATCTTAATTCTTCACTCTTTAATCTTATTTACTATGGGTTCATCGGAACATAACCCCATCATAAGTCAAGGAGACATCTATTCTACTGCCCATTCTTACTACAGTAAGTCCTCACTTACCATCGTTGATAGGATCTTGGAAACTGCGACTTTAAGCGAATCAACATATAATGAAACCAATTTTACCACAGGCTGATTGATATAAACATCAGGAATGCACAGTGCACCTTTAGCACTCACTGCAACAGGGTTAGGTCAAGGAATAAATGTTTGCAAAGTGAAAATTGTAAGGAGCACCTACTACCACCACACAGGTCAAAAACAAACATGCAAACTCCACACAGACAGTGTCCCTAGCTGGGAATCAATTTTTTTTTCTCATCAACGTTATAACAAAACAAAGTTGAATGAAATGATGTTAAGTGAGGACTTACAGTACTGTGCATAACAAGCAAAGTGATGATCCCTGATGCAACATTCATAAATGCAACACAACAGTGAAAAAATAATGAGAATGAAAGGCTTTAAAATGGCAAAAGAAGTCAAACACAAACTGCTGAACCATTTATTGAAATGTGATAGTGTTTAACTCTTAACAGCATAAAGTAATACAGCCTCTCCACACTTAGCGACGTACTTGTTTACCAACTTGGACTTACGACGGGCTCTCTGACCAGTATGCATACTTAAATAATGTATATTAGAGCTGATTTCCTCTATTCTCTTTATTACAATATACAGTACACTAATGTATAAACATTTAAAAATATACTAAAAATGCTATAAATGGTGCAAAGGGTACATTAAAACAATATAAAAAAATGGGTGACACAAACCCACTACCATTGTAGTATGCTCCTTGTTTAGCAATGAATTCATTTACCGATGTGGTCTTAGGAATGGAACTCCATCGTTAAGTGAGGAAAGACTGTATATTACATGATGACAGCACGAAGGCGGCCAGTCTGTAACTTGTACAGAAGGGCCCCGCACATACGGATCTTGCTTTTCAGCATTCCATGTTTTTCTTGGCTTTCAATTGAGATACTGCTCAAACAGCAGAAAAGCAGTAAGCTTTTCTGCTGTTTTCATACGACAGTTGTGTAAGGGAAGGACGAAGAGTGTAATATATTAAGGTAAGTATTGTATGTACTGTG